CAGAGGGGAGGGACTGCAGGAAGTTGGCTGCCCAGCCCCGCCCCCTATTGGGGTGGGGAGGTGCGACCAGGGGTGGGCCTATCATAGTGGGATGGACTGATCAGGGGTAGGGCTGGCGGGGGTGAAGGGCAGTGCTCCAGCTGGGACTTGGCTGGCCCCCGCTCTTGATTGGGGTGGGAGAGTCCAGTCAGGGGTAGGCCAGCTGGGGGGCGGTGCCACAAGGTTGGCCGGCCGGCCCCATCCCCTGATATGGTGGATTTGTTAGCCACAGTGGGCATCATAGTGACCTGTCATTACGATTACAGTCCCTGGTTTTTTATATACATAGACTAGAGGCCCATTGCACAATATTCATGCAAGAATAGGCCTTCCTTCTCCTGGCTTCACTCCTGGCCATCCGGGAGCCAGCAAGTCCTCGCTCCCAGCTGGAGCACTGTTCCTATAGCTCCCTCCATCCTCCTCCCTCCCCTTCATAGCAGGCCTTCGGCCCTCGCTGATCACTCTGTGCCTGTATATGCAAATTAACTTGCCATCTTTGTTGGGTTAATTTTCATACTCCTGATTGGCTATAGGCATAGCAGAGGTATGGTCAATTTACATGTTTGTCTATTATTAGGTAAGATGCCTTATTTTGATGGCTTTCTTGAAATGTTATTTCAGTGTACTGTTCTTCAAAGTGATGTAAATGGACAAAATCCAGATCATTTAACTTATTGGTCTTCTTGCTATCCAGCAGCCAAGCATAGTATAATGGAAATTACTAGCTTAAAGGGAGTCCAGAATTCTAATTCCAACATTGTCAGTAATTATGTGGCTGTAGGTAAGCAAACTTAGGCATATAAAATGGAATCTTAGATGAATTCTAAGATTCCTTTAAAAAAAAATTATTGATTTCAGTGAGGAAGGGAGAGAGGAAGAGATAGAAATATCAATGATGAGAGAGAATCATTGATTGGCTGCTTTCTGTACATCCCCTACTGGGGAACAATCTAGGCATGTGCCCTTGACTAGAATTGAACCTGGGACTCAAGTCCACAAGCTGACACTCTTATCCACTGAGCCAAACCAGCTAGGGCCTAAGATTCCTTTTGAGAAGTTTTTGCTTACTTTGACAATCCCCTTCATTTTTTAAATTAAATTTTGAATTTCTGCTTTATTGAGATATGATTAATATATTAAATTGTAAATCCCATTCATTTCTTAAACATTAGAATACTGTTCTATCTACACTAATAAAAGAGAAACATGCAAATTGACCTTACCTCCACTACACCCAAAAGCCTCACCCACCAGCCAATCATCTACACTAATAAAAAAGAAACATGCAAATTGACCATACCTCTGACCATACCACACCCATCAGCCAATCAGGAGTGAGTATGCAAATTAACCCAACCAAGATGCCTGCAGCCATGGAGCAAGCAGGAGGCTTGGGTTTCCCTGACAATGGAGGAAGCCAAGCTTCCTGCTCGCTATGGCCAGCCCTGGCCTCCACTCAAGGCTACAAACTTTCAATTATAGAAGATAAATAAATCCCAGACACCAGGGCCTCTGCTTGGGAATGGGCAGTGGGACATCCCTCTAGGGGTCCCAGATTGGAGAGGGTGCGGGCTGGGCTGAGAGACACCTCCCCAATGCCCCCACTGTACATAAATTTCGTGCACTGGACCTCTAGTATTAAATATTAAAACTGCAATAATAATAGTTAATGTTATTTATAGAGCCTTTATATATTGTATTTATCTCATGCTGTACCAGATATACTTGCAATTCCCATCATATATATATATTTTTTTAATTAATTTTTTTTTTTTCAGAGAGAGAAAAAGAGGGCGAGATAGAAACATCGATGTTGAGAGAGAATCATTGATCAGCTGTCTCCTGCACTTCTACTTGGGATCCAGCCCACAACCCCCAGGCATGTGTCCTGACTGAGAATTGAACTGTGATCTGGTTCATAGGTTTAAGCCCACATTGGCTGGGCCCCATTTATTCTTACAGTGGTCTTAGTACTTTACATATGAAGAAACGGAGGCTCATAGAGGTTAAATAATTTGGTCTGAAAGTTAAAAGTGGCAGAGCAAGGTCAGTCTTTTTGTCTCTGAACCATGAAACTTTTCTGCATTGAAAGCTTGCCTGCTAGGTATAAAACCTTGAAGGGTTGACTATCTAAACCCGAGATGAAATTTAATAACTAAAACTAAAGTCATATAACTGTTATGTACTGTAAACCTGGTTAACAAAGTTACTTTTCTAGTGCATAAAACAGGAATATAAATGTTCTTGGAGTTTGAACTACAAACTGAAAATTTTGTGTATACACAAAGCTTATTTAAAAGGAAATGTTCATTTATTTTAAAAAAAATTGTTTATAAAGCAAAATATTGCCTGTAGTCATAGTGTTATAGAAATACATGGCTGAAAGAAAGCTTTCAAGCTCTACCAGAGAAATTTAGAAATATAGTTTGGTACTTTATTCCTCTGTGAAAGCTAGAACAGGATTGGTGGAAGGAAGTGGAAGAGGGGATGGGAGATAAATGGTAATGGATAGAGACTGCCTGGGGATGGTGAGCACACAGTACAGATGATGTGTTGTAAAATCATGCACCTGAAAACTATAGACTTTTGTTAATCAGATTCACCCCAATAAATTCAATAAAAGGGGTGTGGGAGACCAATTGGCATTCTCCTCCCTTGATGACTGCATATGTAACTGAAGTTTTCTGTATTCTGTATAATCTTCCTAATTATAGGCAGACAATACCTATGTAATTAAGCTGAGACTAGAAGCAGAATTTGTTAATATTGGATGTCAGGGAAGAGGATTTGGGAATGTTTCATTCATGTCAACAACCTACTTCATAGGGTAGAATTTAGACCAATGGACCTGTAGGGAAAGATTTTTAAAAATACTAAGAGCAGCCAAAACTGGTTTGGCTCAGTGGATAGAGCATTGGCCTGCGGATTGAAAGGTCTGAGGTTCCATTCCAGTCAAGGGCATGTTCCTTGGTTGCCGGCACGTCCCCGGTGTGGGGTGTGAAGGAGGCAGCTGATAGATGATTCTCTCGCATCAATGTTTCTAACTCTGTATCCCTCTCTCTTCCTCTATAAAAAATCAATAAAATATATTTTTTAAAAAACACTAAAAGCAAAGATAGTAAGATGGAAAAGCATGCTAGTTTGGCTGCAATAAATAGTTATAGCTTGTTGAAAGCAACATTAGTGATTACGTATTAGTAGTAATTTCCATTTATTGAGTTCTTGCACTTTACAGCTTCCTCATGTAAGCCTTATTAACACCACTGTCAGTAAGGTAGGACCTAATCCAGATAAGTTAAGCAGCTTAAACATGGTAGCTCTGTGTTAAGTGGCAGAGGAATATCTTAAGCCCAAGGTTTCAGGATTCAAGAGCCATACTTAATCATATAATACCTTCTTTGCATGTAATATGCATGAACTAAATATTTAGATGAAAAAAATAATTTTGATAAGCATTCACATGCTTATTATTTTCTAAATGATTAGATAGAAATATGAAAGTAGTTAAAGTAACTGTTAGTTAATTTATATGGATATTTATAGTACATTAAACTTTGAATTGCTGGCATTCTGCTTATGTTAGAGAATATACTCTTAATTATTTGTTAAAGCATTTGCTGGGTTTGAGCTCCTTAATTATACATTTGTTCTGCATCTCAGAGAGAAAAGGAATATTTCAAGTCTTATGTTAAAACTAGAGGCCAGATGCATGAAATTCGTGCCAGAGTAGGCCTTCGTAGCCCCAGCTTCGTCCAGAAGGACGTCCAGATAGTCGTTGTGCTGTTTGTCCATTTGGTCAATTTGCATATTGCCCTTTTATTATTATAGATGTCTTTAACAGGAAACTCAATAACTATTTTCTAATGTAGGTAGTTATGATTTGACATTATATTTCCTGTGTAAGTTTCATACATGGATTCAAAGTGTTATGTCTCCATCATTTTATTCAGTAGAGATGTTCTCTGGGAAGCATATTAGGTGACTCAAATAGTTCTAGCCACAATGAAATTATTAGGTCTTACAATTATTAGTTTCTAACTCATACTTCATTGAGGTGCCTTCTCAAATGTCTCATCAGAGAGGTTTTTCCTGAGCATACTATCTAAAGTATCATCCTCCATCACTCTAGGAACTTTTATTTTGTTTATTCTCAACTCCCCATCACCTGACACATAAGAGTACTCAGTGAATACCTGTTGAAACAATGTATGAAGAATATGAATAAAATTACTTTATAAATGTAAGTAGAAAAAAGCAATATGGTAATGTCTAAATTGGTATATTTTATATGGTAATATATACAAGTAAATGAATAAGTAGATATTTAGGTATTTAATATATATCTCTAAAAGCTTTTTATTTCATTTGGGTGGAAAGGTGTCCTCATTTTGACACTTGCCCAGTTATCATATCCAAATATCCCTAAGCCTAAAAGGAATTTTATAAAAGTTAATTGCAAAAATATCCAGTCTTTTCAAGTAAATAATAAATTAATTTTAAGGTTGCTGTCTGTGTGGAAAGAAAAAATACATTTGCAAATAAGAGTCTATTATGGCCAGTTCAAATATAAATAATGGTATATTGAGGCCACAAAACTCCATTGTGACCTACAGAATATTGCATACATTTCATTAGATTGATTAATTATATTGATTACCTATTTGTGTATGAGGAGTGAGTATATCTGGGTTTTATGATCTTCATGCAGAATACTTCATATAACATGTTTTTTTCTTTTCAGGGAAGCTTGTATTTACTGTACATCCTTTAAAATAGGTCAGATATGCTAAAATTAAAGCTGGCTAAAACAGAATCTTATACTACTGTACACTAGCTCAGTCTACCTCTCCCCAAACTCCTCTTTCCCTTTCCAACCAAAAAAAAGAAGAAACAAAAGGAAAATATAAACCAGAAAACAGATTTTTAAAAACTAATCCTTTTCTCCATTTCTTAAAATTCAGGAACAAATTCCAGTTCCGGTCTATCATCCAACACCTAGCCAGACCCGCCTAGCAACTCAGCTGACTGAAGAGGAACAAATTAGGATAGCTCAAAGAATAGGCCTTATACAACATCTGCCTAAAGGAGTTTATGACCCTGGAAGAGATGGATCAGAAAAAAAGATCCGGGAGTAAGTTTCAATAAATTTATACATATTTTAAAGGTCTATTTTAAGAGATTTTCTTTTGAAAAATATTCTCCTGCAATTTGGAAGTCAGTTAATATAAACAGTTAATGCAAGATAATGTTTAGATAAAGTTACTTAAGAAGAATTTGAATTCTGACCATTTTATATGTTGCTTGTGTCCATTTGGATGAAAGTTAATGTCAGTTAAAAAATAATTCATCTGTGTAAGTATAAACTAGTACCAACATTACCTTGTCAGTTGGGAAAGCAAATTGGCTATGTGTCAAGGACCTTCAGGTCTATACCCTTTGAGACAGTTAATTCTAGAGATCTATCCCAAAATGTTATTTCACTCTCCTATAGCTTTATGCATAAAGATATTCACCATAGTTTTATTCAGTGAAAAATAATATTAGAAGTATAGTTAAGTAAATTGTGTTATAGGAATACTTTGATTTGAATACTTTGTAAATTATGTATTAAAGAGGGAATATGCTAATTGACCATCATGCCCTCACAAAGCTGGTGGCACCCACAGCCAATAAGGAGGGAATATGCTAATTGACTGTCACGCCTTCAAAGATGGCGGCACCCAATACCCTCAGCACTGCCTGGGCAGCAGGCGAGTCCGGCCATTCTGCACCCCTGCCTCCAGAATTGCCCAGTCCCCTCAGCCTCCCAGCTGCCCAGGACCAGCCCAAGGCACAGGCAAGCCTCAGACATCGGCTGCCCAGCTACCTAGGGCCAGCCCTAGTCACAGGCAAGCTTCGGATGGCAGCTACCCATCCACTGAGGCTCAAGTAAACAGGGCCGGCTGAGGTTTGCACTGCTGGCAGTGGCAGTGGCAGCAGCAGCAGAGGTGTGATGGGGGCATCGCCTTCTCCTGATCACAGGGTTACCTCCCGCCCTTGAGGGCTCCCAGACTGTGAGAGGGGGCAGGCCTGGCTGAGGGACCCCTCCCCCCCCTCCAGTGCATGAATTTTCATGCACCGGGCCTCTAGTATATAAATAAAAGCTATCAGACTGAAAGTAAAATTGTTTCTAAAGGTTTTTAGTGATATGAGGAAAATCTTGATCCATTTCTTAATTTGTGGAGTAATATTATTAAGCCAGGTGAGTTGAATATTGTATAAAATATTACTTCTGGGAAGTTTTTGACCTCAGAGTTATTATCTGAGAGTTTCTAATGAAGACAGCCATACTCCTTTTAGGTTGAGAGTGGTCTTGCCAAATATATGCATAATCTAATTTACTTTGTTGATGTTTGACTCTTTGAGCCATAGCACCAGTTAATGCTAGCACTTAGGATAATATCCTATCTAGAACACTTTTTTAATAATTAAAAAAGACTGGTGAAGAAAAATACTCAGAATTTTAACATTCTTTTTTATTATAATACTAGAGACCCAGTGCATGAAATTTGTGCACTGGGGTGAGGGATGTTCCTCAGCCCAGCCTGCACCCACTCCAATCTGGGACCCCTCAGAGATACCCAATTGCCAGTTTAGGCCCGATCCCTGACGGACATCCTTCTCACAATCTGGAACTGCTGGTTCCCAACCACTCACCTTCCTGCCAGCCTGAGCACTCCCTAACCACTGCCCTGCCAGCCTGATCACCCCAAACTGCCCTCCCCTGCAGGCCTGGTCTTCTGCCCCACAACTGCCTTCCACTGCAGGCCTGGTCTCCCCCCCACAACTGCCTTTCCCTGCCGGCCCAGTCACCACAACTGCCCTCCCATGCTGGCCTGGTTGCCCCTAACTGCCCTCCCCTGCTGGCCTGATCGCCCACAACTATCCTCCCCTACCGCCATCTTGTGTGAAGGTGTGAGGGTCAATTTGCATATTACCTCTTTATTATATAGGATATTTTTATTGATTTTAGAGAGGGAGGGAGGGGGAAGGAGAGAAATACCAGTTGGCTGCCTCCTACACACCCTCTGCTGTGGATCGAGCCTGCAACCCAGTCATGTGCCCTGACCTCTTGGTTCATGGGTTAATACCAACCACTGAGAACACTGGTCAGTCTAGAACATTGACTTAAAACACTATAGAATTGGGTTGCTTTTTGAACTTGAAAGAAAGTGCAGTGAACTTGAAACTGGGATTGATGAAGAGAATTCTAGCCTACAGCAGCCCAGTAAATAGGCTGAAATTAGTGGTTCTGTTTTTGTATACATATAGTTATTAAGATGAAAACTCTTATTTCTGGACTTACACTAAAAACTCAGTTTGTGTAAACAAAGTTTATCTAGCCAGTAGTTTCCTACCTAAAGCATCACATTTTCCTTCCAGTGTCTTCCACATGTAGCTATTTTATCGATATAAGCACAGTTCTAGCAATGGCTTTGATCTCCATGTGCTCCATTTCTTTCTGTTCTCTTGATTGCTCTCAAAGTCTGTATATTTCCAGGGGATTGAAATAAGAGGTTATAGATGGTCTAACACTTATAGGAAAAAAAAAAATTTAATTTGCTTTGATGGTGGGTTCACTGGCAAACCATTTTTATCTGTTTCAGATTAACACTGTCATTGTAATGGGATTTTAAAGATTATTCTGTACAGACCACTTATCTATAAAAGCTTTCTGGTTATTTCTCTCTTGCTCCCAACAGGTGTGTGATCTGTATGATGGACTTTGTTTATGGGGACCCAATTCGATTTCTGCCGTGCATGCACATCTATCACCTGGACTGTATAGATGACTGGTTGATGAGATCCTTCACATGCCCCTCCTGCATGGAGCCAGTTGATGCAGCACTGCTTTCGTCCTATGAGACTAATTGAGCCAGGATCTGTCATCTGACTTCAAGTGAACCTTCATTTTTTTGGTGGTTTTGATCTTTTGTCACTGAGCCCAAAGAGCCAGGGATTAGGAATTAAGATCATGCACAAAAGTTTCCTAAAAATTCCTGAATGGCTGCAGATGTTGGGGAAAAGTATGTCATATTTTAGAAACTTAGGGGGAAAAGTAGGATGGTATTTTTATGTAAAGCCTTGACCCAGTGTTTAAAAATATATAATTGTATTTAGATCTTGTTATTGCTCCAGTACATAGGAATTGTGTAAAGTATTACAGCAGCTGTTATATGTTTAAATCGTGTGTGTTGAAGATTAGGAAAAAGATAGTGGTTGTTTTTCCTAAATGAAATAACTTTCTTCTTCCCCCACCCAAATTCTTTTCTGAAGTTGCTAGCATTTGGGTCAAGGTTTTATTAAAAGCTACATTTTATAACACTGGCACAAAAAAAAAAAAAAAAAGTAGTTTTAAGCTTGTTTGCACAGTTCTTTTTTTCCATTGGAAATGGAATTCATTGCCTTAGGTCTTTTTAAATAGTGTATTATTATCGTTGGGGCTGGCTCTATGCTTGAAACCAGTTTATTTATAACCTGTTATAAGTGCTATATCTGTTTGCAGTTAGGAAATTCAGAATTCAAAGTGATCTCCTAGCTTGTAAGCAAACTGAGATGCACTATCCCTTTCTATAAAAAAACATGAGTTTTTGTGTCAAGAAACCAACTCTAGTATGGGGTTTAGTATTACCCTTTCCAGTGTGTTTTATCTAATTATTTTGGTTAATATGGTGATAATTAAAAGTCAAGGTAAATTTTAAAAATTAAGATTTCTGATTTATTGAGCTTGAATTATGCCACAGTGCTTATGTAAAAATGAAAGTGGCACCATGGTGAAACTGAGAAGTTTCTCGGTTTTAACAATTTTGATTTATTCTTTCTTGTGACCTCCTTCCCTGTTGTCTTGAACCATAGCAAAAGGATACTGCATCTCTTATTATTGTAGTGCTGAGGTTATTGAAATTATACAAAACACATCTCAGTCTCTGTTTCTTGGAAAGTCCTGCTAGCTGACTGGCAAGTCTAGTATAAGCAAGGATACTTAAGATATATGTATTTCATGTTTTGCACACAAATGCTGAATTTGTATAACCACATGACTTCATAGTTGTGATCTCAAAAAAGAAGGAATTTCTCCTTTATTTTTTTCTTGCAGTTAATGTAAGAACACTGAATCTCTAAGCTTCTGAAGTGTTAGAGGTAGAGATGGTCTAGTAAAGATGTAGTTGTAATGTTTTATCCATTTAGCATGTGTTTATTTTTTCGTGTGTACTCAGAGGTGGTTTATTTGTTCAGCTCAGTGATATTACAGCTAAAGAAATCATTCATTAGCAAAAGGAGGAGCAGTTTCAACCTAACAAATAAGAAATGTTTCTTATTATTTTATATTGAGTTGAATATTTGACTCTAACACTTTTCTAGATACAAAATACAAGTATCTTGAAGGTTCTTCATAACTGTGTATAGAGGAATTTAGTATGTCATAAGTATTTTTTAAAGATTTGACATTTGGCTGTAGTATCCATATGTTGGTTAATTTTCTTATGAGCCCCATGATGGAAAGACTTAAAGATGAATTTGAGAGAGAAAAAATGAAAGGAATTAGATTGTCATTAAATTGTTACATGTATCTTGCTTAATTTTTGTTCATTAATTTATATCCACCCAATTACATAAAGCAAATTTGGAGGAAACACCTGAAGTTGTGCAATATTTTTAGTGATATTACTGTTTTTATCCTTGTGTTTTCTATTTAAACATGCTGTCTGTGTTATCAAGTATTATAGTCAGACTTTCTTTTTTCTAGATCTTTAAATTTGGTAAATGAACTTTTTAAAAACTCATTTTTTATGTTGCTGTTAGTCTTTCTTTATACATGGCTTCTTTCACAGAAGTTTGGTAGTAGTGAAGGTACCATTGAGTTTGGTAGTATGGAGTTGAATGTTTTTGGGGTTTTTTTTAGGTACTTTGTATTCTTTGATTTTGACCTTCAGATACATATTAAAAACAACCAATTTTGGTTTTTACTAAGTTAAATAAAGTTATAATATAGTTGTAAAGAGCTAAATTAGAGTTGATTACATAATATTTCCCAAGTTTTCTAATCTTTTCTTTAAAATATATATGTATAGTTTTAGTCAGTTACTTTTTAATCTTTGGGTGTGTATACTTTGGGGAAAGTATTTTTATGGCTTGGTATTTCATCATAAATTTAGAAGCTTAATAGATTCAAATTTTCTAAAGCCAGATGATAGGATCACCATATTAGATTAGAGTGTTCATGCTTGGGTATAGGATTTAAAATGTCTGAAAAGCCTGATGAGGAAAAATTAAAAGAATGTTATTCTTTTAAATGTAAACTAAACAAATTTAAATACTAGTAGTTTGGTTCACACAAACCTTTTCAATTCTATGAGTGTTCTTTGTAGAGAATTTCTTAAGCCAGATATTATACCTCTCCCTACTACCAGTACTTAGCATGTGATATTAAAACAGTATGATTTTACAGAATACAGTGACCATTGAAGTAACAAATTCTCTAGGTACAAAGCTCCTTTGTAAGGAAGCATGCATTTTAAAAAAGGAGAATGGGAATCAGGAAAAAAAGGTAAGTTTCTTTGCATAATTCAGAAATGTATGCAGCTTGGGGACTACCTCTGCTTACAAGAACATTAGCTAGTAGTCAGTTTCTAAGTCAACTGATTCACTTGCATTTAAGTGCATCATAGCTGATATAATAACCTCAACTAATATTTTTTAATCTTTATTGTTGAAAGTATTACATATGTCCCCATTCACCCCACCCTCCATGCCAGGCCTTCACCACATTATTGTCTATATCCATGGGTCAACTAATTTTTTAAGCCTTTAATTTTGAAATTAGTGGACACAGGAAAAGTTGGATTTTTGGTTAGTAGCTCCTGAAGTAATATTAAATTTATTCACCTGAATTTAAAGATCATCTAGTCCAGTGGTTGGCAAACTCATTAGTCAACAGAGCCAAATATCAACAGTACAATTGAAATTTCTTTTGAGAGCCAAATTTTTAAAACTTAAACTTCTTCTAACGCCACTTTTTCAAAATAGACTCGCCCAGGCCGTGGTATTTTGTGGAAGAGCCACACTCAAGGGGCCAAAGAGCCACATATGGTTCGCAAGCCACAGTTTCCGGACCACGGATCTAGTCTTTTTTGGGGTGGAGCGAAAGCAAGATAGTTTTTCCCTTTCTGAGTACCTCTTTAAATAGCTCTCTTGCTCCAGCCTTACACTCAACTAGACTTTCCTAAGACACAAGCCTGATTTGGGATGTACCCATCAGGGGAGACATGGGCATGAGAGCCAGTATCCTCATGATGCATTATGTTAATCCTGTGGGGACTTAGCTGAATTCCTTCTTGTTTTCCCCCACTTGGTCCCAGTTTCTAAGTATTTTGCTATTGAGGTCTCTTGTTTCTATTAATTTTGTGCTTTCTCACAAAGGCTGTTTGATGCTCCTGCTCCCTTTGGAAATGGATTAGTATTACTAGCCTGCTTATTAGAAAGTTTGGATCTACCTATTTATCTCTTTAAATACATTTTTTTATTAAGGAAGATATTCTCAAAACCTAGGTGCTTAATAAATGCTTGTTAAATAAAGTAGTATAGAGTAAAAATGTTCAGCTACAATGAAATATAATTGTTGATTGATCTTCTGTGAGGTGAGATTTTCTTAAGAGCTTTCAAAAATAGGGGGCAGAGGGTCAGCTCTGATGTATTCATGGCTTTCAATTAGTCATGTATTCATGACTTCTGCTCTATTGACATTTTGCTCTGGACTCTTGTCTTAGGGACCATGAGCAGCATCCCTAGCCTCTGTCCATCAGATGCTAATAGCACCACTCAGCCCCTCCACAGTCATGAGAGAAAAAAACATATCCAGATGTTGCCAAATGTTCTTGGGGAGACAGAATATTCTCTGCTTGAGAGCCACTGGGTCAGATAAAATAAATCAGTAGACTCATTATTTAAAAAAAAAAAAAAAAAAAGTATCAAAGAATTTTTTCTTGGTTCCATATATATTACATATGTATTTGTGTATGCTCAGGTAGTGATTTAATGTTCACAGTTCAGATTTAGACAGGGCTTTATTTTGTGATGCTTAGTCAGGGATGGGGAACCTTTTTCTGCCAAGGACCATTTGGGTATTTATAACATCATTCACGGGCCATACAGACTTACCAACTTAAAAATTAGCCTGCTATATTTGGTCAGGCATTTAACTCACCCCTAATGCCTTGCAGGGCCAGACCAAATGGTTTCGAGAGCCTTATATATTCCCCTGGCTGGATGTTCCACATCCCTAATTTAAGTGAAACATAAGGCTAGTGGAGTAAATAATTGTAACTATTTGCATTATATAAATATCTTAAAACAGTACTTTTCCTAAGTGGTTTAAAAGATATAGGAAGTTAATTATGTATTTAGGGAAAATTTATTGGACTATTTGTTAGCTTTGCACATCTAGCATTTTAAAAATGTTTTATTTTTTAATATATATTTTTTGTTGATTTCAGAGAGGGAGAGGGAGAGAGTGGTTGAAACATCAATGATGAGAGAATCAACTTGCTGCCTCCCATACACCCTCTACTGAGGATCAAGCCCACAACAGGGGCATGTGTCTTGACGGGGAATTGAACCATGACCTCCTGGTTCATAAGTCAGTGCTCAACTATTGAGCCACATAGGCTGCACATACAGTATTTTTAACCGGAGAAAAATAATATCGATCTACATTACAACATATAGAAATTAGTAAATGGATGCAACAAAAGTATTTGGGGAATATTAATTTAAATATATTTCCTTTTATGAGAGCCTCTGACTTAAAGCATCCCACACACAAAAAAAAAATGGTTAGCTAAATTCTAACCAGCCCTTTGTAAAACCATACAGGGGTAAGTTAAAAATTAACAACAGTACTCAGAGTTTGATTGTTTAGATAAGTGTATTCAGACTTTGCTTTTTCCATTTGTCCTTTGACATTTCCTTGTTCTTTAGCATGGAAATAGAAAATCCCAACAAATCCCTTTACAACCCATTAATTGATTCATAAAATTTTTGTGAGAGGCATTAGTGAAATTATACAAAAGAGGTTTGGATTTATCTGCCCATTTTAATTGTCCACATTGTTCTTGTTTGCTTTATTCCTCTGAGCAATAGGCATTAGCTCAGGACAATAACTGGAACCATTTGACTACTGTTACTGATAGACTAAAACCACTTACCATTTCATAAAAATTTTAAGGAAATTTTAGGAGTGATACTAACTTTCCTTTATATTCTTGTTTCTTGAGAAAAGTTACTGTCCACTTGGAAGATTTAGTCATCTTTGGATGCTTTCCATAGAAAGTTTGTTTTCCTCTGCATATGAATGAAGAATGAAGCAGCATTATGAATAAGGTACACATTTCAGGCATTTAAGATTGATTGTGTTAAAAGGAGCGGCAGCACCTGTTTGCTTTGAACCCTTTCTATAATTATAGTCAGGGCTTATAGGCTCCACATTTCTTGGCACTGAAGAAAGAAGTTGAAGTGGGTAACTAAAGGTTTGCCTCCGAGTCTACTCTGTTTCCCCAAAAATAATAGATCCTCCGAAAATAAGACCTAGCGCATGGAAAGATAAGACATCCCCTGAAAATAAGACCTAGCACAACTTTGGGAGAAAAAATTAATATAAGACAGGGTAGTCATAGTGGTGAACTCCTGAGTGCTTGTGAGAAGATTTGGTTGGCTTTGCAGAAGTGATGAGCCCACCTTTTATCTGGAGCCACATAGTAATTTAATCATTTGGGATCCAAAGGCATTGTGTGAATTAGGAAGCCTGGAATATGTCAGAAAGACATTAAGATTGGCTTCTAACACTCTCCATTCTTGAAGTGGGAGAATAGGTACATTCTGCTAATTCCAGAATCAGAGCCAATCCTTGAGCTTTGACTCTGCAAAATCATGACCTTCTGTCTGTGAGGGTAGCTGAACTCAGCAGATAGATTATAAATTAATAGCTACAATTTTAGGATGTGCAGTGTGTGGGGAGGGGAAATTGTTTTTCACAAATCATTTGTCATCATGGCCCTTGCTATGATGTGATCTTGACATGAGCAAGAATAATATATAAACATTTTTCTTTCTGGTAGTGAGCAGGTACTATATCTAATAGGGCATTTTGAGATAGTTTGTTGTTGCAAGTACCATTCTTGGGATTATTTATTTATTAAACTGAGTTAATTGCTTTGAAGGTATCTTTGCTTTGAAGATATTTATGGGTATGGGTTTTGATAAACTGGGTTTCTGATTTCCATAATGAGCAAAGGACATGAAATGCCAACTCACATGGACTCTTAGAGCCTATCACTTAGCATATTGAAAGTATTTTTTTCCTTTAGTAGCTGGTGAAGGGAAGATTTATTTTTATCAGCCAGTTTACAGAAAGCAGAGGCAAGTGTTGCTGGATATCTTTAGTATGGCACCAGCTCCTAAATTCCATGTTTAACCCTATAGAACCCATTCTTCATGTAGCAGCTAAAATAATTTTGAGTAAATTGGATGTCATTCCTCTGCTTAGAACTTGTATAGTTTCCCAGTGTACTGAGTTAATGAAAATCCATTGGCTTTCTGCTCTCTTCTTTCACAGTACTCTACTTTATAGCCTTGTTAGACTTTCTTTTTGTGCCTTCTAAAATGTCAAGCTTGTTCCTATCTCAAATCTTTTGGAATTACAGTTTCTGCCCTATAGTTCACTTCAGTTGTTTCAATGACTGGCTTATCCTCCAGACCAAACACATCCCTTTTTTTATACTCCTACTAGTATGTCTTCCTTAGCAGACTAAGCTCTGTGAGATCAAGATATTTGGGTGAAGGGAAGGAGAAAATGGGGAAGAAGAGATCCCTAAGGAATCTGAACATTTCGGATTGACAGGGAGCCATCATCAAGGAAGTTCCCATTGGATCTTATAAAGAAGGGCAAGGGCAACGTTCTGATAAGCTTTGTCACTGACCAGCACCACAGACTGTACTCACTGTCCTCATTCTTCCCTTCACCTAGAAAAGTTTCTATATGTGAACTTTGAAAGAAGAAAAAAAAAAGGTCATATAGTGGATGCTTGTTCTTTTTGTTTGCCCAGTACCCATCTTTTTTGTAGTAAAAATCTCCAACTGGCATATGACCCATTTGGACCAATTGTAGTACCTCATTTCCTTTCTTAGGCAGTGTGATTCTCAGACTTTAGTGTGCATCAAATTCACCTGGAGAGCTTGTTAAAATTTAGATTACCTGGCCTCACCCTTCTATCAAATCCCCTGATGATCTCATGCTGATCTGGGGAAACTGGTCTAAGGGATGGACATTTAATCAAGCTGAACTAATCTGAGTTCTTTTTTATTTATTTTTTATTTATTTTTATATTTCATTGATTTTTTACAGAGAGGAAGGAGAGGGATAGAGAGAAACGTTGATGAGAGAGAATCATCAACCAGCTGCCTCCTGCACACTCTCCACTGGGGATGTGCCCGCAACCAATATACATGCCCTTGATCGGAATCGAACCCGGGACCTTTTAGTCCGCAGACCGACGCTCCATCCACTGAGCCAAACCGGTTTCGGCTAATCTGAGTTCTTACCTGGGATTTTTCATACAGGAGGTAGGAAAAGAAGCTTGTGTCTTCTGATCACAAAGCTGTAAGGAATTGAGGTCTGAATGGCCACGTACATCCCTGCCATGCAAAGAAGCCAGTTCAAGAGAATAAATCTAACACAGGAGCAAAGTCAGATGGAGAGCACTAGAGCACTTGATTTAGTCATCCCCTAGGCCTGCGGTCGCCAACTGGTGGTCCACAGACCACTGGTGGTTCATGGGTTCCGAAAGTTTGGTGATCGCTGCCCTAGGCCAAACCCACCACTACCTTCCCACAGTATATGTGGCCCAATAAATTTCCCACGTAAAGTTAGTATTTTTAGTAGATCAGGCTTTTCTCTAACTGTAAATATGCTCACAACCTCTTCCATAGATAGTTAACTGAAAGCTGTAGTCCAGGGGTGACAGATTTCTGGCCCATGTACCACTTTGATCCATAGATATGATGTTGCCAAACTTAAAATTGAATGCTTTTAGCATACACATACCAGTTTTCAAATGTTCCTACTTCTTATTGTCTTACTAGAGGTCTGGTGCACAAATTGGTGCATGGGTTAGGTCCCTCGGTGTGGCCTGCAGAGTTCGGGCCCCAGATCGCACCCCCAGCCTCGCAGCCTCAGCTCATGCCCCCATCCCCACAGCCCCACTGGCACTCCACCTTGGCCTGGAACCACCCACTCACCTTCACCATCCCACCTGCGGGGCAGTCAGTCAGGGCTGGGCCCCCTGCTCAGCTCCATTGGCGGGACAATTGGCGGGGCGATTGGGGCCCTGCTCGAACCTGTTTTGTCCTGGTGCCACCCACTCACCTGTTCCTGCTCCACCATCTACCGCAGTCTGCTCTCACTGGGGCGGTGGGGGCCAGCACTGCCGCCCACTGCCAGCACCGCATTGCCAACGCCCGCCATGTTCTGTGCCACCCCTGGTGGTCAGCGCACATCATAGTAAGCGGTTGGTCTCCTAGTTGAACAACGGTCCGAGGGGACAATTTGCATATTGGGCTCTTATGTAGAATACCAAATATCTTCTAGCATATGGTTTGCTGCCCCTCAAGCCTGAGTCTCTACATCTGTTCAGGCCTCACTTCTTGTCTCTGGAGTAGCTGACCAGACTTTACCTATCCTCCATCTGGGAATCAGATCATGCCTTTTCCTCCAATAGCCCTCGATCGTTTTATGAGCAAATACCATTGCTTAAGGGTTGCCTTTTTTTCCCTTTTGGCTTTATTGAAGTTAGACCCTATTCCTACCTCAGGAAACCTAGTGGCCTGAGGAAACTGCTACACAGACATATGCTCCATGTATTTCAAGCCAAGTTTCTAATGTTTGAGTTTTTAGCCAGTACCTTAAGGATGGCCTACGTGACTATAAATCAATCCAACTTTTAAATTAATCATTTTAAGCTCAACCAGCAGTTTATCAAAGTGTGGGCTTTAGAGTTCAACTGCCTGGCTTCAAATATTTAGTAACCAGGTGATCTTAGGCAAGTTATTTAACCGGTTTCAGTTTTCTCATCTGTAAAATCACAATAATAGTCCCTACTTCATAATGTGGTTATGTGGATTAGAACCATGTCAAGTGCTTAAACTAGCAACTGGTAAATAATGAGCACTTGATATTAGCTATTTTTTTCCCACCCAGAGCATATAGCGTCTGGTGTTCAGAAGTGTTTGTTAATGATGTGAAGAAAAACAAGACAATCCAGTCTAGTCATTTGTGAGGTGTTAGCTGTGACGTATCTGATTAAACTTTAATGTCAACTTTAAGAAGTCCATAGTGACCTCTAGTAATTGTATATCTTCCCAGAGGAAGGATTGTATTACATTTTGTCACTTGACAGTTGACTTTGTACAATGGAAGCATTTCATAGATTGCTAACTTAGAAGTGAATTTTTCAAGCCCCCAAATGAGGCTCCTTGTTTGTGGACTCACCCTGTTGGGTAGTAGTGAACTTTGCACCAGGTTTCCCAGGAGCTATGCTAACGCAAGCAGAAAGACACTTTCTAGCATTGGAGAGCTACCTCTGGGGACAGGGGTGAGGAGTTCCCATTTGCTTTTCAGAATCCAGGTACCTCTCATTTATTACTGCATTCGTGGGATAATGCTAAGAACATAAGGAAACAGTTGTTGAAAAGGCACACTGTTAGCTTTAATTTTTAAACAAACAAGAAATTGTCCATCCCCCATCATTTTAGAATAAACAACTTGAGAGTAACTCCAGAAATAAGTGTCTTTGGATTTTATCCCTGTGTTGAATGTAGTCACAGCTAGGATTTTCTAAAGCCTCTTGGTGCTGTTCTTCAGTTGTCAGGAATCGCCCACCTGGACCTCAGCCAAGTCTTGGGTTGGTGTTGGCCCTTCAGGGCCCTGTCTTTGCTGTCGGGTCCTGGCTTTTTTTTTCATGAATGACGATAGAGGTCTTGGAAACACTCCCATTCTGACTTGAGAGATAAGGAATAGGGAATCCTGCCAACACATGGGAGAACTGATAGGGAGCAGCACACTGCTAAAAGCCAGCCAGCCAGCCAGCCCAAGGGCCTGTGATCATTGAGAGGCAGAGGTAGACTTTCCGTTTTCAAGGGCCTGTTCAGGTCATGTTACACAGTTTCTACTTCCTAACAACTGAGTTCCTCTGTGGCACAGAATGCAGACTTGCCCCAAATGAGGATTATTTGCTCGCTGGGGATCCTGGGCTACAGTCATGGCCCCTGATTGAGGAAGCCTATCACTCTGGTTAAGTTTTGGCAAAAGGTAAAGAGTTACGTATCTGTTGCCTCATTTTGGAGATGAAAACCCACCAACAGACTTGACCAGAGTTAGAATCGAACTGTTGTCAGCAGGAAAGAGAGTAATCTAGTCCAAATTACTAGTTTTTAGAGGGTCTGTGACTTTCCTAAGGTTACTCTGAAAATCATTCAGTAGCAAAGTAGGGACTACAATTCAAGTCTCCTTATTTTTAGGCCAAAACTCTCCACCTGACCAGCTGCTTATCCAGGGCAGATGTGCTGGAAAAGTCTTTAAGAGAAGTAACCAGAAATGGCTCAAAGAGACACAGTGAGAAGCCCATAATGGAATTTTCACCTTCAAAGGCCTCTGCACAAGGACACCCAATATGGTCACCCTCCACTCTCCTCCTCATACATGTTTTCACAGATTATCTCAAGCTGCAGCTGGGATAAAGGAGACAAGATCCACTGATTTCTCTTATCGGCCAGGCTGCAGCAGACAGAGGGAAAGGTGACGTACGCTAATTAATGAAGCCCAGCAAGAAAACAGCAACAAACACTGACAAGGAAACCATCTGGCTAAACTTTAAAATACAAGCAGAAGCACCTAAAATAAATGTTGAAATAAAGCTTTTCATAAATTATTTGGCAAATTATATTTGGTATCTATGGCCAGTACTGCTTTTATACAGCAGCAGGTAGAGTTCTAATATGTGGGGAGCCTCTAAATGCTGTCCTCTCAGCCGTCTGACTCTAGTCACCTCTGGCCCTGCCCTGCCCTGCCCAGCCACCTATAATAGAAACAAACTGGTCTCCCAGCACCCAGGCTTTGGAGGAAATAGAGCTTGCAAAGGGCTGCTCTATGGAGAGCATTCTTTTGTCTAGTTCTTACAAAATGAGGGGGAAAAACCCATAGCATTTCTGCTCTGAAGGTACTAAGTGCAAAGGAGGACCTAGAATGAGGGTTTTCTGCTTTTCCTAATGAGAAAATGCCTATAACCCATTGCTTCATTCAGTGTCAGTCATAGGAAGCTGGTTGACTGTACATTAATAGATTAGCCCACCCAGCCACTGACAGATGCTCAAAAGTGTTTGCTAAATACTGCAGTGCTGGAAGATTAGAAAAGTTGTCTACGGTCCTTCCCTTAAAGAAATTACATTCACGTATTTGAGGAGTCACATGTTCATACATGATTATTTTTACTGTGTTTTTGATTTTTCTAGGGAAATGGTTAAACTGAAGTGTGCTGTCATGAGATTGTGAATGGTAAAATTTGGTGTTGGTTACTGAACTTTTGAGTTCTCATTTTAACCGTCCCAGAAGTTGCAAATGCAGGTGCTTTTAGAGACCAGAAAAATAATATAAGTAAAGTGGCCTCTACTCAGCTCCAACTGATTGTTGCCTTATTGCCTTATGGTAATGAGGCCCCGTGTTGCCAGATGGTTTGTGTGTGTGTGTTTTTTTGTTTTTTGGTTTTTTTTTTTAATTAGAGGTCAGAAACCAGACTTATTTGTGAAATCTCCCCATTTTTATAAGTTAACGTATTGTAAATTTTTTTTTAATATCATGTTGTCCAAATAAAACATACCTGGGCCATATGGTTTCTGATCTAAACTTTCTGCCCTGCCTAAGAATTCAAGCAACACATATTTTACTGAAATACTAGTAGATGTTGCATGATCTCTTTTAAGTTTTATTACTTAAATAAAACTTAACTGAAAAAAATTAAAATATGCCAAGAATTACCATCTTATTTCTAAGAAAAATGCTGTCAGTAAATAAATGTACCTCAGAATGAAGTAGAGAAGATTTTATAAATTATTCCCAATGGTTTCAATCTGAGGGAAACCACCCATCCCCCCAACTTCATGGCACAGAAAGAGCCACACACACAGGTCCCCTTCTGTTAGGCCTCCGCATCCCCATTCCTTATGGTGGAAACTGGTTTCCTACAGATGGACACCAATGAGTTATCTCACTAAATAGACATCTTTGCTTTTTCAAAATTGGACAGATACAAAGGAGGTTAAAACGAAGGGTAAGAAGTAAGATAGTGGGTGTCTGTGTGAAACCCCAGAAGCCTTGAAGCCTGAGGTCAGACCATCCTGAGGGTCCTGCCAGCCCTGGAAGCTAAGACCTTGATGAAGTTTGAAAAGCAGTTTGGCCTTTGGCAGCATACAGATTTACCTCCCGATCAGTATGGGTTAAAGCAAAGATTACAGGTGGTTGGTTGGTGGTTTTTTGAAAAGCCAACTATGATCCCATCATTGTATTTGTAAGTAAAATGTAAACTGTTCATACATTCTCTTAAACATCACAGTGAAAAACAAAGTACCCGTATATGTGATAGGGCAGGCAGAGGGCTCCACCTGCTCTGTCCTTGGCAAAGGACCTTGGCCACACAGATGAAAATGCGGGCTTGGCTGCTTCACGGGATACTCATGTTGTGCCATCCCACTGGAGCACCGGTAGACCCCAAAGGCAAGGCAGGGGGTGGGGATCATTTTTGAAATGTCTGTCCAGCTGTCTGTCTGCCAGCTTGGGAGTGCTGCGCCAAACTACAGGGACACTGATGAGACCACGGCTCTGCTTACATTCTCTAGAGAAGACTTGGCTTGGAGTGTGGCTGCCTGGATTCGAAAGTGTGTCCTTGACTCCATGGAGTAATTCTTGTAGTTTTGCCTGGAAGAGACCAGAGAATCGGACACATGAGGCTGCTGTAGAAAGTGCTTTCTCTTCAGTCTGAGCTGTGGGAGCCCACCAGCCAAGGAAGAGTTGTAGAAGTCTAAATCCCTGTCTCTGTCTAGAGAGAAAGTTGGGTGGTCTGCCAATAGGGATCAGCAGAAAGGGTTTGTGGCCAGCCCCTCCCCCAGACATCATGCCCTGTGGAACCCTCTTGGTCCTGATCAGTCCCTAGTCTTGAGATGTCAAGAGATAGATCTGTGGGCTGGAGCACAGGGGACCAGGGTCTTCACAAAGCCCTGTGGCCAACTTGAGTGTGATCCTGGGCAACTCACTTCCTGCTTCTGGGATTCCATTTCTTCATTGGTGAATTGAGAAGGAAGCCTTCCCACGCTTGGTGAGAGCTGGGCTCCCAGGGACGAGGGCCTGGGCTCTGGACTGCTATACTGTGCTTGCCAGCACTCTCCCTCTGCCCCCAGCCAAGGCTAATCCAGCCTTACTTGGCAGTTTCCAAGAGTTTGACAGCCTCTTCATTTCTGCCTTGCTCCATAAACAGCAAAGCCAGCTCCAGCAGGGCATTTGGGATCAAGTAGTGGTCATATTTAATCTTCTTTTCACTGTGGGGAAGAAGAGCACATGGCTTATAGGCTTGCCCTTGAAACGTCCTTCAGGCTTCTCCCAGGCCTTCCCCGAATGGGAGGATCTAACCCATGCCCCCAAGTGGGGTTTCTAGCTCTGAATTCTAATTTGGGAAGGTTCCCGCTACCTAGCTATCTAGACCTCTGCACCTGGGAGCCAGCTCCCTAACAACCTATGGCTCATGTGCCACTTCCACCTCAGTCCCCAAACCCCTTTTTCCTAGTTGAATTATTTATTGTATTGGGAAATGCCCTATCCCCAATCTGGCCCCTCTAACCAACCCACCATGCTGTCCCAGAACAATCTTTTTAGAACCCAAATCTGCCCTGCTTGGTATCCTTCCTTGCCCTATTCTGTCTTGGATAAAGTTCAGTCTTGTAAGCAAAACAGCCAGGCCCTTTGCAGTCTAGGTGCACCCCCCTTCCCCTTATTTTGTTTGCAATCCTTTCCCTCTGTAATTTCACCCAGCAGGACAATTTCATTGTCCCTCCAACCTCAGGCATATCTGTGCCCAACATCTGCACATGCTGTCCCTACTCCACTTAAAACTCCTCCTTCATTGCTTTGTCTGTCCAATAAACTTCACAATTTAACTGGTATCCTTGGAAAACCTCTCCTGGTATCTTGAATTAAGTTTAGCTCCCTCCTCAGGGCACCTGCTGTCTTCTCCACTTCCTTGTGCCACAGCCCTGGTCATATCAGATTGAGTTGCCTATAACTGTTGATCTGTAACATTTGTAATCCACAAGGGTAAGGGAAGGGTTGGTGAATTACAATCTTCAGGGGCACCATTAACAAATTCAGTGTAGACAGGCTCCTGTAGGTGAGCAGTCTGGCAGCCCTGCCAGATGAGGTGTGAATGATCTGTGCCCTGCACGGCCCTGGCACAGAGTAGACACTAGTACACATGTAGTGCCTAGGGGGAGGCACTGGAGTGCACAGGAGGGAGAAGCAGCCCTAAAAAGTCTGCCTGGGAGAACCAGGTTCAGTAGCCATCGGATTGAGAGCAGCCACAGAGGCACTTACTTGGCAGAGATGCTCCTGAAATTCTCCTCGGCCTCCTGGACACGGCCCAGGTATTTCAGACACAGGCCTTTCAGCAGCTTCACCAAGCACTCATCATCCACTGAGTACTCGTTCTCTGAGAACAGGGCATGAGAGGAGAAAACAGGCTTGTTCGTTTCTGCAACAGTTACTCATGGAGTCCCTACTCTGTGCTGGGCCCTGAAGACACAGGTGACTCACACATGGTCCCTGTCCTCCGGGAGCTCACATCTGGGAAGGAAAGACATACTGAGACGACGACAATTCAGTGAATCAAGGCTGCTTGAAGGAGGCCCAGGGGCTGTGGGAGCCCATCAGAGGCCTTGACTCTACCCGGGGGACAAGAGACAGCTTGGAGGAGCTGTCGTTGAAGCTCAGTCTAGAAAGGCACATCCCCCAGTAGGGGGTGTGCAGGAGGCAATGGATGGATGTTTCTCTCTCGTTGATGTTTCTAACTTTCTATCCCTCTCCCTTCCTCTGTAAAAAAAAAAAAAAAAAAAAAAAAAAAAAGTCAATAAAATATATTTTAAAAAAAAATAAAAGAAAGGCAAAGGTCAGTTACCAGGGTAGAGAAAGGAGGAGGGATATTTTCGGTAGAGGAAAACTTGAACTGCAAGTCCTGTGGTCTGACCCAACCTGGCAGATTCAAGGGCCTGGGATAGTCACCTGGGCCCTTTTCCAGCATCTCTTCAGCCTTGGTGATAATCTCAAGTATCCCATCTGTGAGTTCGGGCTGCTTCCCAATCACAGCGTAGCCATTCCAAATGTACATCATTTCCTGAAGGTAGGGGAGCAAGTCAGTCCTAGGTTTCTTCCATGGGGTCTCAGTTTCCCCATCTGTAAAATGGGCAGCTCAGATCAGAGGATCACTAAAGGCCCTTATGAGCTTCTAAATATTGGAGAAATCATTTACCTCAGCACTTCAGTGTTTCCAATAGAGTTTAAGACTGTGTCACTTCCTGTTCCCCAAGGCATTGGGCTTGAGTGACCATCCTGAAAACTATGAAACTCCCTGATTCCTTCTTCTGCCTTGACTTCTGGGAAGCTCAGAATACTAGCATGTTTATTCGTAGTAATTTTGTTGCTTGGGTTAGCATTTTCTAAACTATCAAACCAAGTAATAGATGTGAAAGTGATTTGTATACATAAAGTTCTAGAAAGACATTATTATGGTTCTTGTTATGTTCTAGGGAGGGAATTTAAGTTTAGACCAGTGTTTCTGAAGATCATATGGTTCCAAGTTAGCAAATATTCCATTAAAAAAAAAAAGCCAGGGCCCAATGAGTTATGAAAAAATGTATTCAAGCTTCTTGAGGCTTACCCTGCTGATTGGTATATAAAAGCTCCAAGGTCTACAGTATATACACTTTGTTTAGAACAGTCTTACCTAATATATTTCAGAAATCATTTTACGCATAAATTGTACTTTCCAGATTATAATTTGGGAAATTCCGAAATTTTCCCTACCCTTCCTTACAACCCCTCCCCCATTTGATTACAATAGTTTTACTTTATAAAATATTTCTAAATAGAGATAGTCAGGATACAAGTTCTAAATACATTCTATAAATATTGAATGCTTTGATTTATAAAGTGTAACATTTTATCAGCTGATCCTCATAGCTGTTCTATGAAGTGGGCAAGGTATATATTACCCCATTTTAAGGAAGGGGACCCTACCCAAGGTCACACATTAATGAGGAGGAGTAGATCCAGGACCAATAAAAGGTCTTTGAGGACCTTTTCTACTTATCTGATGACTGCTAAAATCATGCATAGAATTAGCATCATAACAATGATTCGGAACATGGGCTCAGAAACCAGACTATTTCTGTTAAACCCTGATTCTTACTAACATTGCAACCTGGACAGGTTATTTTATCTTTCTACTTATATCTTATCCACTTATTAGATACCTTTCTACTTTTATTATCTATTGGGACTTAAGTATCCCCATCTGTAAAATGGGAATACCACTAGCACCTACTCAGAGGGTTATTGTGAGGATCAAATGAGGCCATGGGCGATGGGTGTGTGTAACCTTGAACACAGCTATTAATAATAGTGTCAGCTATTATTTCAGAGCTGACTATACCAGTCTCAGGGCACAGGAGCTCAGAAAAGCTCAGCCTGGTGAACAACCACCACGTGACAAGACTGAAACAATAAGGGTAGGAACACAAACAGCCTCTGCCTGGGGACAGGGTGTAGGCTGTCTAGGAAGGCTGCTCACTTGTCACCACACCCTCAGGAGACCAGCACTTCTTCAGAGGCCAGGGCTGCCTCGACTCATCTGTCTCCCCATCCCAGGTGAATTGTGAAATCCTCTTCCAGGCCCCTGAGGCATGAAGGTCTTTCTCCCTCATCCACTTCCTCTGGGCCCATGGTTGTACCCCTGGCTCTCAGCTAACCCCTATAATCCCCCAAAAAATGCAATCCCAAAAGACCCTCCTACCCACCAGAGCAGGGATTGGCAATGAGATGGGTTTGGGAGCGAGGTAGCGCCTGGACTTCCTGATGGCAAACTTCTCTGTGGGTAGAGACTTCCCAGCTATCTTGAGTTTCAGGCCTGGCACAGCCCTGCAAAGGAGACGAGGAGGGTGGGGAAGGGTGAGAAAAAGAGAGAGAGAACTGAGAATCCCCAGACTGCCTAGTGGCTGCTTGCCACCTCTCTGGGCCTCAGTTTCCCCATCTATATGATAGTGTTGGACTCACAGCCTACATCTTGTTTCACAGGCCTTGACCCAAGACCTGACCACTTCCTGTGGGTAGGCAAAGGGCTCCTTCACAGCAGCTGGCAGAGGAGAGGATATACACAAACGCCCAGGCCTGTTCTGCCTTCAGGCTGTCTCTTCTCCAGTCCCTGGGCCCCGTTTCCGGAGGGGCTGGCCCCATTTCACAGTGGAGACTAATACCCAAGAACGGGAGGGACCTGCCCAAGACCGCACATCTGGAAGCTTTAATTAGCTCTTGCCACAGGCAGTTGTGGCCTCAGCTGTTTGCAGGGGCAGAGTAAAATGTGGTATGCAGCTAAGCAAGCCTCCACATCTGGGGCCTCACCCACCCAGCTCCATCCCACCTTCCGATTTCTGCCACAGTCACGGGGTGTGGCTGTGACCCTCAAGCCTGAGCCGCCCAGGAAACAACCGGGCCTCGTTGTGAGCTCCCCCACCGAACACCCGCCCTGTTTATTCACGGCAAAACTCCTCCCGGCCTGTTTTCTCCTTTCCAAAATGGAGATAAAGATAGGAAGGAGAGCAGAATTGTCACCCCACAACAGGCCTCTCTGGCAGAGGATTATTTTAGGCTGGTTATTTTTAAAAAATAGCAGACACAGGAAAAGCTCTTGAAAACCTAGAAGTTACCTTTTGTGAGAGACATATTTACAAGGGGTATCCCATCTGTTAGGGTAGCTCCCTCTCTGGACCAGGAAGCGGGAGATGACTAAATCTCTAGATCACATGTGTCAAACACAAGGCCCGCGGGCCAAATCCGTCCTGCCAGGCCTTGCAATGTGGCCCGCACCGCGCTGTCATCACTGCACTCTGCTGCGTTTCCATCACAATGACAGTTTATGACTGTTCAGTAAACCATTCGGCCCGCGATTTAGGCTGGATTTTAGATTTTGGCCCCTTCTCTGATTGAGTTCGACACCCCTACTCTAGATGCTCATCAGTGCAGAAGAAAAGGACTTCATTATGCATCACAACCTTACCCTTGTTGACTGTGCTTTCCTGGTGACCCCACATACTGGCTCCCCATCCCCAACACCTTTAGTCTCCCGCTGAAGATGGTATTTAAGATTGGTTGCTCAGTTTTCCTGGGTCTCTCCCTCTCCCACATGTACAGGAGACATTCAGGTTATTTAACTTCTGTTTGTTTTTCTCCTGATAATCTGTCTTTTATTGGGGGGGGAGGAGGGAGGAGAAGGGTTTCAGCCCCAACCTAAAAGAATAGAGGGAAAATTATCTTCCCCATTCTCAACCTGCAAGGCTGAGCCCTGCTCCTGACCCTTTGAAGAAAAAGCAAACACAGCAGTTGCAGGTAAGAATAAAAACAGCCACCCTTTGGTGGGCCCAGGCCCCGCACCAGGCTCTTTAAATATATTTTCTATTTATTTGCAAAACAGCCCTGCAAGGCAGAGGTTATTCTCATTTTATGGATGCTGAGATTGTCTGAGGTGACACAAATAAGAAATGGCAAAGGCTGGATTTAATCCTGTTTGCTTGCTTCAACTCTGGCTCTCTGTGTGCTTCTCTGAGTGAAAGCAGGTTAACGCAGCCAAAGGTACGTCTCTGGACCTCAGTGTCCTACTGACCTGACGAAAGAGGCTCAGTGGAAAGGATGTCGACAAAACCACTTTGGCGAAAGAAAGCCTCCGAACAGACTCAAAGGGCTCTATAAGCAGCCGCAGGAGGTGGTGATGGGAGGGAATGGCGGGCATGTGAGGCAGTCCTGGGGGAGGGTACAGGCGCGCAGGGCCAGGGGTGCTGTCAGCTCAGGGTGTCTGAACAGACCCTGGCTGAAGCCTACAGTGGGGGTGCAATGGTGGAACTCACCTAAACAACTCCACTTCATCATCCCCAAACGGCTTGTAGTCGTCCGTCCCAAACATGCTGAGGTAGGCAGCCTTCATGTAGATGTAGGTGGCCTGTGAGAGGCAGGGCAAGAGTCGTGTGAGGAGCCCACCTTCCCAGAACAGCTGTGGAGGCTGCAGACCACATCTTACTCCGCCGAGGAAGCCACAACCCACAAGGGAATTCATTTGGCACAAACACCTCACTGGACCCAGCACAGGAGCTGACATTATCCCCCGGCCCCAGGGGAGAAGCTGAAGAACTTGAGCTGGGAGTTAAATCCGGGACGGGCCCATATGAAAGCGGCTGCCACCCTCCTCACTCTGAAGCAATGGAGAAAGGGACTCAAGCAACCAGTGCATGGACGCACAGGCAGCGCTGAGGATAGGATAGAGATACGCAGGCCGGGCAGCAAGGGCTTCTGGGAAGCAATTGCTTCCGACTGGGCCCCTGAAGGCCAACAGGAAGATTCACAGAGTCCTTGAGGATGGACTTCCCAGGCAAGAGAAACAGCTGAGCAGAGCCTGTGTATAACCAAGACACACACAGGTAGCATAAAGTATGGGATGCATAAATGAGAGGTGAGGCTAGAAGAGTGAGCAGGACCCTGGGCCACGGCTATCTGAACTGGTGAAACTGCCTACTGTGTGCTAGGTGCTCCACATACATCACCCCGTGTGATCCCAAAGACAATGCTAGGGTAGGCACCCTCTGCTTCCTGGGACCTCAGAGCTGCTTGGGGCAGAGCTGGGAGTGACCCCAGGTATGTGTGGCTTTAAGGGCCTTGTTCACTGGATCCACGGCCACCCTGACAGGAAAGGGGTGGCTGTGCAGAACCCTCTTCCTCCACCCAGAGATCCTGAAAGCTGTGCCCCTTCCCAGTGCCAGAGGAGTCTGGCTCTGTGCTGCCCTCCAGTGGCCGAGCCCTGAATCACAGATCCTGCCACCCCCGCTGCTGCCAAGGAAACTATACCTGCCCACCTGCCATTAGCACAGAAAGAAGTGTACTGGGTGGAGGAGGAACCGGAGCCGGACATCCTGGAGCCTAGTCTCTGGAGAAGGCGGAAAGCAGCCCCAGCCATGCTGAAGCCCAGGGCTACTCCTAGTTCTACGCTGACCTCAGCACCTCAGTCGGCCCTTCACAAAAACAGAAAAACTGGGTGTGGTGGGAAGAATCACCCCTCACTGAAACCTGTTCCGCATCCCATCTTCCTTGTGTCATCCTTGCCTTCTCCTTCCCCATCCTGGCCAGCACTGAGTCACTAAGTCCTCATGGTTCTACCTTCCCTCTAGCTCTTGCATCCACTGGCCTTGAGCTGTCCTTCACCTCACTGCACCAGCCTCCACACTGCTCCTGCTGCAGGCCACCAGGAATGTCTTTTTATTGTCCTAGTTTATATGGTCTCCTAACCCGCCTTCCCGCACCCGCTCCTGCCCCTGCAAGCCATTCCCCACTCCATGCCGGTCAGATCTTTTTATGTCAAATTACGTCCGTATGTCCTTGAAATGTATCCCATCACAGGATAAACCCAAACCCCCTCTCATGGCCTGCAGGCCCTATCCAGTCTCCCCCAGTTTCCTCTCCCACTGTGTCCCCCTCCCTCACTTTGTTCTAACCACCCTGGCTTCTGGGCCATTTCCAGAATACATGAAAGGCACTCAGCTTCAGGTGGCAGTGCCCAGCAACCCCGGGAGGGAGTTCTTAAAGCCCAGATCTAAACCACACGCATCAGGGGTGCTTTCGCAGTCAGACTAAAGCCTAAACAGCCACACAGGGCCCTTCCTGACCTGCTCTTCTAGCTCCTCTTCTGCCAGTTATTCCCCATCAAGCCCTTCAACTCACCCCAGGCCTTCCCTCTGCCTAAGATGTCATTGTTCCTTCTCTGCCAGGCTTACCGTTGTCTTCCTCTAAGAGGCTTCTCCCTCCAGACAGCTCACCCACCTTGAGTCACCAGGAGGGAGGGTGGATGCAGTGACCTAGCATTGTGACACCTTTGAACATCAAGCTATTAAGGGATCTGTGGGGCACATTGACGGAAAACAGCAGCCGCCGCCTCTGATGGGACTTCTGCCTCCCCAGGGTTATCCGTTTGCCCTGGTTCCTGTAGTTTCTGTATTACTCTACCAGGATCTGTGCAGTCAGACAGCCCTTGTCTTCCAGAAGCTCCAGCAGCCCTGGCCAGTGCTTCTCAGTGGTTAGAACACCAACCCCTATACCAAAGGCTCATGGGTTCGATTCTCAAACCTGGGTTGCAGGCTTGATCCCCACCCCAGTAGGGGCATGAGCAGGAGGCAACCAATCGATGTGTCGTTCTCACATCAATGTTTCTCTCCCCTACTCCTCCTCCCTGATACTCTTGCTAAAAATCAATGGAAAAAAAGATCCTCGATAAGGATTTATAAAAGAAGAAGTTACAGCCAGTGACTTACAGGGGGTTTCTCCATAGTCCCACAACCCTTCACCTGGGGACACAGAGCCTCTTAGCAGCATCCTGACTTCCAGCTTTTGACCTTTCTGTTCTCTTGACTTGGGGTGTCCTTTACTCCACTCTAATTCCTCCTCCTCCAAAATCAGCTCAGATGTCTCCTCTTCCAGAGGCCTCCCCTGTTTTTGTGGCTGGGCGGCTGGGCGGCTGGGCGGCTGGGTGGCTGGGCGGCTGGGCGGCTGGGCGGATGGGCGGATGGGTGGCTGGGCGGCTGGGTGGATGGGTGGATGGGCGGCTGGGTGGATGGGCGGCTGGGCGGCTGGGCAGCTGGGTGGCTGGGCTGCCCAGGGCTACCTCTGAGCTCCCGTTTCCCTCCTTGCTGCAGGGCATGCAGTTGTCACCTAGTTTCTGGCTGAGGGAAACATGAAGGCTCCAAGGGCAGAGAGGGATGCCACAGCCAAATCCCTACAGCTGAAAGTTGGGGGACTCTGGCGGCCAAGGGCTGGAGAGGAGGAATGAATGAGGCCCCAGAACTCAGGGTGCTACAACCCCCACGTTCACAGGAACCCCTTCTGAGGAAAACACCAGAGAGCGTGGGGGCTGACCACCCCAGAGTCACAGAGCTGGACACCGAGCTGACTCGGCGAGGCTTCCTGATGCCTGGGAGGCCTGGGCCTCCCTCTGCTCTCACCCCAGCTGTGTGCACCCTCCCCCCACCCCCCTCCCCTGGGTAGGCAGACCCAGCTGTCCAGCTCAGTCCACAGGAAGGCTTCTAGGTCACCTGTTGAAGAGGTTCCTGGAGTGAGTCTGCGCTCTTACTGGGAGTGGGAAGCGCTGAGGAATGAATGCCGGGCCCTCAGGGCTGGGCGTGAGGGAGCCCCTCTAGCAGCAGGGCAAGCGGGGCCTCCTCGGGAGACTTGAGGGACAAGGGAAGAGCAGAGAGAGGCCTTGGAGTCTCGCAGAGCTGGCTTCACACCCCGTCCGTCACCAACAGCCCCTCTTAGCCACAGCAGCCCCGGTGTGCCCAGCGGAGATCACTTCTGCCTCGCTGGGCGTGGTGTGGAGGAAGTGGCAGGCTCTGGGCACATGGTGAGAGCTCAGGGACACCCTGCCCCTTCCCCCAACCCCACCTGTGCCAGGCCCAGGGAATTCCCTTTCATTGGGTCCCCAGGCGGGGGACTGAAGAAGGACTTCCATGCAGAGGTGGGGAGGGATGAGAAACAGGGACTTAAAAGATATTGAGACATATGTGCCTCTGGTATAGGTAGTTACCTATACCAGATTAGGTGCTGATGATCTATCAGTGTTTCCCAAACTTTTGACAGATGTGTCCCCCTTCTATAACTTTCGTAATGCTGAGTACCCCTCGTACTCATGAGAACGTAGAATTAGGCACAGCTAAGCACGGTGCAGTGCATATCCCCACCAAACTCCGGTGCAACGCGTACCCCCTCCAAACTCTTCCCGTACCCCTGGGGGTACGCGTACCACACTTTGGGAAATACTGACTAGATGATTCCAAAACTCTCTGTTCAGAATGCTGTGCTAGCATTTCTCTGGTAATAATGGCTAATACTTATTTCACCACTTCCCTCGATACTATGTTTTCACCTTTGATGGGCACCTATTTTGCTTTGTTTTGCCTTATAGGCATCGATTTAATCCCCCAAATGCTTCTTTTGGGGACATCACGCCATTTTTCTTCTGCAACCACCTCTCTTCTGCTCCCATCCTCTGTTCCCAGCATTGACATGCAATCTGTGCAGACCAATGAGGCTGGATCGTGGGACTTCGGTTGAAACCAAAGGGATGATGGGAGCTAGGGGCATGCAGCCCAGGGCCACCCTGCCTGTCACCTGGAGAGAGCCTGCCTGTACAGCAAAGGTCTCACTGAAGAGAACACAGCCACAGGTAGAAAAACAGCCCTGACGACTCGATTTGCATTCCTGGATCCAGCCCTATCTGAAGTCAGTTTGCCTAGAATTTTCTGTTGTATGAACCAATACAGCGAAGTCCAATACAGTGGCCACTAGCCTTTTAAATTTTAAATTAAAGTTAAAGAAAACTGAAGACACCCGGTTTCCCAGTTGCACTAGGAACATTTCAGGTGCTCGCTGCGCCCATGTGGCCGGTGGATGCTCCCTGCACCCATGTGCCGTGTGGATGGTGCAGGACAGAAATTCCCTGCCGGACAGCTCTACCCTGGGCAGTGCTAGCCATGCGTCTGTCCTTGTGACTAAAGCTCCTGACGGGCACAGTATAGTTAAGTTTCTCTGTTCCTCACTGTCTCTCGTTCCTTCCCACCCCGAGTCCTGTTAGGAGTTATGGTTCTGTTTAAATTCCAGCTGGGACATCTGTGTTCGGTTAGGAGTTTGCCCTTGGTCTGGGCGCATGGCCAATCTGGGTTGGCCTAGTCCCCCTCCTGCCCCCCAGCACTCGGTGGGAGCCCACCTTGGACCAGGAGTTCTCCTTGCTGAGCAGGTCGGCGTAGAAGTAGGCCATCTTCCACTGGCCCTTGTAGGTGAAGCACCACATCAGCTCCCAGTAGCACATGTGGTGAAACTGCTTCCAGTGCTGCTGGGCCTCACAGCACTCCTCGAAGCGCCGGATGGCCTGTGGGCACCAGCTGTTCAGCCTTCCGGTGCCCCCCGGCCGAGCCCACCCTCCCTTCGCACCCACCCTGTGCACATGGTCCACCACTGTGCGGAAGGCGGGCCTCCCGTCCTCCTTATTCCCCCACGTCTCCCAGGGCCTCAGGCCCACTTCCTGCCTCTCTCTGGAGCTCTAGTCTTTCCACCACAGAGTGAAAGTGCAGGACAGAGCTATCATGGAGGGAGAGCAGGTAGTGGGAAGTGTTAACATTAAAGCAATGTAACAGCATCTGTGCCTCAGAGCAAGCTCCAAAGGTTTCGGAAGCTCCTCCGGAGTGAGCTGGGTCTGGGCGTCTGTGCTGCTGCCGGAGGAGTCACAGCCAGGGCAGCAGGAGATCCCAGGACTCCACTCTGTGGAGTCCATCCCGGGCCTTGGCTTAGTGCTGGGGTCCCCCTCTCCAGCCCCTCCGATGGCTCCCTCCCTTCTATGGAGCCCTCACTTTCCACCCTCCCCAGGCCCCTGTCCTAATCTCCCTGGCAGAACCGGCTCCTCCCCAGACTGCCTCAGAAGTGCCTCTCCCACTCCTGCTCTGCTGTCCCTTTTCTCTTGGGCCCCTCCCAGCCGGCCCGGGCCCTGAGGATGTCTGAGCGTCTGACTCCCTGCTGGCCTGGGAGGCCCCCCCCCCCCGGCCCCCTACCCCCCCCCCTCCCCGGTACTCACGGCGTCAACGTTGCCTTTGATGGCTTCAATCCGCCCTGCAAAGAACAGGAAGATGGCGCCCTGCAAAGACACACGTGTGGGTCTGTGAGGGCCCACGCAGCGCACGTGGGCAGGGGTGTCTGGCAGGAGTGGAGCTCACCTTAGGGTATCGCTGCAGGTAGGGCTTCAAGAGCTTCTCTGCCTCCTCGATGTTGACATTCCCGGTGCCTGGAGGAGGCGGGGGTACAACACATGTCACCTGCACCACGGGCTCCTGTGTTCCTGCCGGCAACCCACCAGGCCCTTCTCAGGGCCTCTGCTCCCCGCTCCGTGAAATGGGGATGATATTGCCGAAGCCGGTTTGGCTCAGTGGATGGAGCGTTGGCCTGCGGACTGAGGGGTCCCGGGTTCGATTCTGGTCAGGGGCATGTACTACCTGAGTTGCGGGCACATCCCCGGTAGGGGGTGTGCAGGAGGCAGCTGATCGATGATTCTCTCTCACCGATGTTTCTGGCTCTCCGTCCCTCTCTCTTCCTCTTTGTTAAGAATCAAAAAAATATACATATTTTTTAAAAAATGGGGATGATATTCTTCTATCTCTAGAGTAGAGGTCGGCGAACTCATTAGTCAACAGGGCCAAATATCAACAATACAGCAATTGAAATTTCTTTTGAGAGTCAAATTTTTTTAATTTAAACTTATTCTAATGCCATTTCTTTAAAATAGACTCGCCCAGGCCATGGTACTTTGTGGAAGAGCCACACTCCAAGGGGCCAAAGAGCCACATGTGGCTCTCAAGCCTCAGTTTGCCGACCACGGCTCTAGAGGGATGTGAGGATTAAATAAGCACCGATGTCGCCTCTAGCATATGACAGGGCTCAGTAACGAAGAGTCCATGCCCACTAACCCCAAGGAGCTGTGCCCAGAACCCCAAGGAGCTCCCTACAGTGTCTTCACACCCTCTACGAGGTGGGCCTGGGCATCCCCATTTCACAGGTGAGAGAGCTGAGGTTGGGACCTACTCAAACTATGAGGAGGTGAGAAGTCCACAGGCCCCAGGACAGTTGAGGTGGCTCTGCTGTTTGTGGCTTCAGGGCCCCATCCCCAGTCTGAGGAGCCCAGTCAGGGTGTGTAACCCCTCACCGGCTTGACCCCTGCCCTTAGGGCCAACCACCCCCCAGAGGACCTGCACTGGCCCCCAGGACACTCCTACCGAGCACGAAGGTGAGGAAGGTGTGGTAGCACAGCAGCAGCATGACGCAGAGCACCGCCCGGAAGCTGTGCCCCGAGGCACCCTCCGCCAGCTGCAGCAGCCCGTAGTCCTGCAGGCGGACGAGAGGCCAGGTTGAGGCCAGCAAGGCCTGGGCTCCCCAACCCACCCTGGGACCCACGGAGGGCAGGGGCCTGGAGGTGCTGCTGGAGATGGGGGTTAGGAGTGGTGTAGCCAGGAGGCCAGGTCAGCTGCCCCCAGGCTGTGCCACCCGGGGGAAGGGGCTGTCCTCTCGGACACTGCTGCTAAGGCCATAGAGGAGGCTGGGGTCTAGGTGTCTCCACCTCCTCCACAGCCCCTCCCCCATTCTCCCCCCTCTTCACCTGTCTGGCTGGTGGAGGGTGCTGAGGCCCTGAGCAGCCCCAGGCCCGGTGAGGGGAGGAGGAATGACAAGAAGGCAGGTAATCCTAACCCACAGGCCCAGGGCACAGATGGGACCATGAGGACTGTGGTCCGGGAAGGCTCCCTGGAGAAGACTCCAGAGGCTGGCCGGGGAGGAGCAGAAGCCGGACCCCAATTACATCCCTGCGGCACTCTGCCTCTCAGTCTGTCCCAGTGTTCCTGTGCTCGCTAGGGGACAAATCTGCCTCCCTGCCTCACACCCTCCAGGGCTCCCCTACTTCCAGGATGAAGACAGAGCCTGTGCCGGCGCCTCCATTCCGGCCTCGCCACCTCTCTTCCCGGCCAGGCAGGCCGCACTGTCACGCTGCGGCCGGCATTCTCATCCCCTCCCCTCCCAGCAGCATCCTGAAATCCTCCTTACCTGCGACCCCAGGGCCTTCTCAAGAAAACAAAGCTGAAAGGGACTTTCAGAGCCTCCCACCGGTGTTTTCCCGCCTGGCTCATGGACCACACATGGCGACCAATATTTTAGAGGTCCACGCACAGGCATGAGGAAGCAGAGGGTCCCACGGCAGGGCCTTCCCTGCTCAGTTCTCTGTCTGTCCGTCTGACGGTGTCCAGGAGAACACCGGGCTCCGTGCTTGGCCTGTTCGACATCGCTCTGGCTCCGAGCTCCCTTCCTCACCGAGGGAACGGCCGTGGCAACCACTGGGTTTTTGTAAGATTGTTCGGTCCTCATAGGACTACTGTTATGATTGTGGTCTGTGTAGCATGTTTACTTTAAGTAAATTGAAATAAAACTTATGAGCTATTCTTCAGAAAAATAATAATATGTAACTAATAATATAGAGGTCTGTGCACATGGCAAAAATCAGCAAGGGCTAGCCGAAACCAGTTTGGCTCAGTGGATAGAGCATCCGCCTGCAGACTGAAAGGTCCCAGGTTCGATTCCAGTCAAGGGCATGTACCTTGGCTGCGGTACACATCCCCAGTAGAGTGTGTACAGGAGGCAGCTGGTCAATGTTTCTCTCTCATTGATGTTTCTAACTTTCTATCTCTCTCCCTTCCTCTCTGTAAAAAAATCAGTAAAAAAAATAAAAAATAAAAAAATAAAAAAATATATATTTATATATATTGATATATATTTTTTAAATCAGCAAGGGCTAGAAAAAGTTCAAATTTGAGAAACACTGACCTGGTTTATTTTATTTTTATTTTTTAATATTTTCATTGATTTCAGAGAGGAAGGGAGAGAGAAAGAGAGAAACATCAATGATGAGAGATTCATTGATTGGCTGCCTCCTGCACTGCCCCCTACTGGGGATTGAGTCTGCAACCCAGGCATGTGCCCTTGACCAGAATCGAACCTGGGACCCTTCAGTTCGCAGGCTGACACTCTATCCACTGAGCCAAACCAGGTCGGGCACTGGCCTGATTTTTTTTAAAAAAGCCCGTGTTTTACTGAAAAGAGGCTCAGTGTCACAGGGAGAAGGGCTGCCTTCTAGCCAAGTTCCTTCCCTCACACCAAGTCTCCTCTGCCTGAAGCTCTTCTTCATCTTCTACCTGGTCCTCAGGTTCCCGCCCTCAGTGAAGTGAGTCTGGTTTCCCCCCTCCGGGCCTGATGCATCGTAGGGCTTCTCTTGGGCATGTCCCACACCAGAATGGAGTCCAGAGGAAGGGACTGGCTCTGGCTCTTCACGTGTCAGGCTCAGGGAACAAGCCCCACCCAGGCCGCTGCCCAGAGCTGCCTCTCACAGCCGCCCTCGCCCCAGAGCCTGCACCCTGCGAGGTGCCCGGGCAGGCGCACGGCCCCACTTGACTGGAGAGCAGACTGACGCCCAGAGGGAGCGGGGCCTTGTCCAGGGAACCCATACCGATGGGGGCTGAGCCAGAACTGGCATTACCTTGTTTCCTGAAAACCCCACAAACTCCAGCAGCCTCAGGATCCTCGTGGGAAGCATGGACAGCGTCTGCAGGAACAGAAGCAGGTGGGCACGTGCAGGGGCAGCTGCCCTCCCCGCTCCCCAAACCCCAGAGTCCCGGGGCGATCCTGAGGGTGCGGGCCCCGTGTCTGCAGTGCCAGGTTTCCTGGACAGCCAGCTTCCCCAGACAGAGAAGTGTGACCGTCCACAGGAGCGGACTGCGCCCAGGTCCTCTCCCCACTCCCAGCCGGGTCACCTTGGGCAAGGTACGTCTCCTCTCTGTGCCTCCGTGTCCTCGTGTGTAATACTAGCCCTTACCTCATGGGGGGTGCTGTGCAGATGGGTCAAATTAATCCGTGTGAAGCCCATAGGAGGGGCCTGCACACGTTAGTCAGCTATTGTCATTCCTACACCGAACCCCTACTTTGGGCCAGGGACTCTCACTGCATTTGATCCTCAGAACAACCCAACCTAGAGGGCTTATTGACCCTTTTGACAGATGGGGAAACTGAGGCACAGGTAAGTGGGCAGGACCTGTCCAAGGCCCTGAAGCTCAGCAGAGGTGGAGGCAGGCCTTGAACCCAGGGCGGTCTGGCCAGAGCCTGCTAAAGCAGCCACGGCCCTTTGCAGCTGTGGTTCTCAGCACATGGCCCAGGATCCCAGCTCCCACAGGTACACAGGAGGAAACTGGAACTCAGAGCGGGGCCGGGACCCCTGCCCCAAGGCCTGTTCTTAGAACAGGCTTTGCCTGGAGTGGAGAGAGCCGCTCCCACCCCTTACCCACTCCCCCATATCACTCACACACACACACACACACACACACACACACACACACACAACTTTTCTGAGCCTCCGTGCTAACCCCTACTGCTCCTTCAGCCTAGAATGCCCTTCCCTGCCTAGAAAACTCCCCCCACCTATGGATGCTTCAAGATCCAGCTCCAATACCACCCCCTCCATGAAACCTTCCCCAAACCCCAGTCCCGGGTCATCAGCTGTCTCCCGGCCTGTCCCCTTCCCTGCCATTGGTCCGTGTTTGTCCCTTTCTGGTGCTATAGATATTGCCACTACAGAAGTAAATATTTAAGTTTACCACTTGACCTGGGGAGAAATGCACAAGGCGGACTCTGGAGCCAGTGCCAGCACCCACTGCACCCCCACCCACGCTGGGCACCCCCCCTCCCCCCAGGCTACCACAGCAGGGCCGGGGCTGGCACAGAGCCAGGCGCGCGGCAGAGCATGTGTGTGAGGCGGCATGTGCGGGAGGTTAATTCTGAGCCCAGACACGGGACCTGGGCGGGGGCTCTCCCACTCACCAGGTTGAAGGCGCCCACACCAAGCTTCACGCCGCCCTCAAAGTGCCTGTGGTTCTCCCCCTTGCAGTACTGCGAGGACTGCACCAGGCTGTCCAGCTCCCTGCGGAGGGAAGCGAAGCACACGTTGGGGGCTGGTCTCATCCCAGCGGGGCCGAACAATGCCCCACGCCCAGCTGACCTCCGAACGCTCGGTAGCAGGGATAGAACAGTTCCAGCAGTCCAGAAAGCTGGCGTTTCCAACCACCTCTCCCACCGTAATCACACGCTCCTCACCCCTGAATGCCAGCCGTCTCAGCCACGGCGCCCCTCCTTGTCCAATGCCTAGGCGGTTGCTGTGCTCTGCATTTTGTCTAAAACACTTCCTCAACCTCAGCACCGCGGGCATTTTAGGCTGAACGATTCTTTTTGGGGGTCAGGGGGCTGTCCCGTGCATCGTAGCATAGTTAGCAGCATCCCTGGTTTCTACCCACTAGATGCCAGTTGTGACAGACAATGTCTCATGGGGGTGTTACCCCCAGTTGAGAACCACCGGGCTAACTCCTACTGTTCCTTCAGCCTAGAATGCCCTTCCCCGCCTAGAAAACTCCCCCCACCTATGGATGCTTCAAGATCCAGCTCCAATACCACCCCCTCCATGAAACCTTCCCCAACCCCCAGTCCCTGAGGGTCATCAGCTGTTTCCCAGCCTGTCCCCTGCCCTGCCATTGGCCCGTGTTTAGCCAAGAAGAGGGGGTGTGCGAACTCCAACACCCCCTCTTCTTGGAGTCTCCTGGTTAGAATCCAGCTCTTCCCCCGGCCACTCGCTGTACAAAGCCCGTATCCCACGGCCTGGGACAGCACAGCGGCCTTATGGTGCGGTGCGCCTGCCTTCTTCCCTGCCTTGAGCATCCTGAAGGCTTTTAACCAGCAGACGCTGGCTGAGGCCGCTCTGGGCCAGGCACTGAGGGACAGCAGGGAGCCACCACGCTGCTGCCCGCCCCCCAAGTCTCCCACTCTGGGGGTCGGACCCCAGGGGGTCTGTGACGGGAAGGAGGGCCTCCAAGGAGAGGAACCCTGGGGCTGGACGCAGTCTGGGCTTCCGGGAAGGCTTCCCTGCGGAGCTGACATTTGAGCTGAGAGCTGAGGGGTGAGGAGGGACGAGCCTGGCACAGAAATGGCGCTCCTGGCAGGGAGAACAGCACGTCCGAGGGCCGTGAGGTCCGAACGAGGTTGGCTGTGACCCAGACCTTCTCCTAAGGGGAGAGGAGCCTGGAACTTGGCCGGGGCTGACCTGACACGGCTTGTGCTTTGGAAACATCGCGCTGGCAGCTGGGGGGGAGAGACTGGAGGAGCCAGAACGCTCATCTGCTTTCCCTCACACAATCCCGGACCGACCCGCCGTGCCATCCCTCGCCGCCACACTCAGACCCGCTCGCTGGGGACCGGCCCCAGCGAAGGGGAGAAACAGAGATGATGAATAGTCTCAAGCCAATTCAAGTAAACTTTTCGTGGAAAATGATTTTTAATGCCAAACCTGGCGTGGGGGAATGAGCTTCCAGAGCTCTCCGGATTGGGGATTATAGCTGTTCGTAATACCGTGTTAGGGAAAGGTGTTCTGAGTCTCCCTTCTTTCATCCTCGCCCGGTGCTGAGATGGCACAGACATGATCTGGCCCTCGGGCAGTTGCTCCCATCTGAGGGGGTATGTGGACACCACCCCTGAGGGCTGGAGAGGCCAAGGAAGGCTTCGTGGGGAAAGGGCATCTGGATGTGTAGGAGTTCCGCTGCTCTTCTTTTTTATTTATTTGTATATTTTTATGGGTTTTTTTTTTTTTTTTACAGAGAGGAAGGGAGAGAGAGAGAGCTAGAAACATCAATCAGCTGCCTCCTGCACCCCCCGATGGGGGATGTGCCTGCAACCAAGTATTGAAACCAGGACCCTTCAGCCCGCAGGCCGACGCTCTACCCACTGAGCCAAACCGATTTCGGCTATTCTCAAAATTACTGTGTCTTTCCTCCTGCCCCCACCACGCCAAGCTGTTAGTTCGGAATTGTGTCTTAAGCACCTAGTTCAAGGTCGGCACGGAGTAAGCAGTCGGGGGAACCAACAGGCACACCCAGGAAAACCAGGGGAATAGCGTTCCAGAAAGCTGAGATCCGGAGGGTGCAGACACCTGCCGAGGCCACACGGCATTCCAGGCGCCCTGCCTCCAGCCAGCGCCCTCCGCCGCCCACCGCGCAGCCTGGGAGGCCCGTGTAGCAGATGCCGTGCCCAAGCCTGCGCCCCCACTGCTCCCCCCCCCCCCCCCCCTCCCCCGCCAGCCCCACTCACTTGTAAGTCTGGTAGCTGTTTCGAACTTTGATGCCGCCCTTGATGAAGCTCACCATGTTCTCATCCTGCAGGAGGGAGAGACGCTAAGAGCTGGGCCTGGGTGGGTAGCCAGAGGAAGATCATACAAGACTCTGAGCCCTGCCTTCCCCTCCCTCCGACCAGCTCTATGAGGGCCCTAGAGGGATGGGGTCAGAGGTCAGCCAAACCAGGTCTCCCTGCCTTTGGGACTTGAGATGAGGATCTTGCTCACCAAACAAGACCTCCAAAATGCCCGCTTCGTGCTGGGCGGAAGGCCGGGAGGAGACACGCCCGTGACTCCCCCGGGGTGCCCGGGCCTCTCTGTGGAGGATGTGGGACAGGAGGAGGGGCGCTCATTTTCGGATTGTTTGTGTTTCTCACAGGCTGGTATGTGTCACATCTGCAATGTAAAGCACGCATCCCTGCAGCCCACCCAGCTGTTCCACTCCGGGGTGTGCGCCCAAGAGGAACGGGTGGGCCTGGGCTGTGGGCGTGCCCTTCAAGCACGTTTCCAGCCCCGCCGCTCACAGCGGAAAGCCCCAGAAACAGAGAATGAACAGACAAGCTGGCGCATTCGCAGAGAGAAGGTCGCAGCCACAGGACCGGGCAAAGGAAGCAGGTCCCACTCGGCTTGAGGCCCTTCAAAGCCTGACGCCAGCGAACACATCGTATGCTGTTCAGACATGAATTGGAAGATGAAAAGGCTATTTTTTTAAAAAACAGGATGGGGAGTGATTAACCTAAAACTCTAGCTAGTGTCTCCCCCTGTGGAGGGAGGCAGGCACAGGGCGGGAGGGGCCCAGCAGGGAGGAGACTTGCTAGCAATGTTGTGTTCTCCAGTTGGGGGGGATGCGGGGGGTTGTGAGCGTTTCTTTATTGTGTGGAATACTAGAATAAACTAATAAAAGGACATTCCTGGTGCAATTGTTACAGTGATCCTAATGAAGGATTAGGATTAAATCCGGTTCTAATCACCAAAGACCCAAAAAGATAGAAAAAATAGCAAGGAAAATTAAACAGCACCCCAACAATAAAATGTATATGTGCTTTTCCAACCTAATTCATGTATTTACATGATGATTATATGTGACAAGCATGACCCAGACTTTTTGGTAAAATCATGAGGTGACGGTTCTCTAACGGCCATTGTGGGTAAGGAGTGCCAGGTCTGGGTTCAAATCCCAGCTCTGCCCTTTGCTGACCACGTGACCTCAGGGAAGCGGCTCCTTCCCTTCTAGGGGTGTCGAACTCAATCAGAGAAGGGGCCAAAATCTAAAATCCAGCCTAAATCGCGGGCCGAATGGTTTACTGAACAGTCATAAACTGTCATTGTGATGGAAACGCAGCGGAGTGCAGTGATGACAGCTCGGTGCGGGCCACATTGCAAGGCCTGGCGGGACGGATTTGGCCCGCGGGCCTTGTGTTTGACACATGTGCCTTAAACCCTCCCCTTTGCGGGTCTTCGAGATGAGGATGAAATAATGTGTGTCAATGAGTGTGAGCACAAACATGCAGTGTGTGTGTGGGGCGGCATGCAAAAACCTCACCCCTGCCGAAACCGGTTTGGTTCAGTGGACAGAGCGTCGGCCTGCGGACTGAAAGGTCCCGGGTTCGATCCCCAGTAGGGGGTGTGCAAGAGGCAGCTGATCCATGATTCTCTCTCATTGATGTTTCTAACTCTCTATCCCTCTCTCTTCCTTTCTTTAAAAAAATCAATAAAATATATGAAAACACACACACACACACACACCCCTGTCATGTATGCGCAACGTGTAGTTCGTTGTAAAAGATGCTAAAGTCAGCTTTTTGAGTGAATCGAGTCAACTCGTAAAGCAGGCCCTGCGGCCAGGCCTGTCATCCCACGTGACCCTCCACAGGAACACAGCAGTCCGGAGCGGAAGCGCATCCTGGTGGCGGATGGAGCCCACCCCTCTGCCCCCGAGCCCGGCCAGGGCGGGGCGTGCTGGGGGGCTGAGCCTCAGTCCTTGTGGAACCCCAAGGGAACCGATCGCGGCTGCTGCAGACCCTCCTGCCTCTGACATGGTGGCCCGTCTTCTGGGCGCCCCAGGCTGCGTGTCGACGTAGAGGGCTCCTACCTGCAGGAAGGTCAGGGCCGCTCTCTGCAGCAGGCACTCTGCGTAGCAGACCTCGGCGTGGATCTCCTCTGTGGGGAGAAAACCAAAGCCCTGTGGCCTCCTGGGACCCCCCGGCAGGAAGCGTGGGCCAAGTCCTCCCACCGCCACTTCCCACGCCCTCCACCCAGTCACCCAGGCCGGGCTCTGCAGTGCCCACGCTGGTCTGAATTCTCTGCTCGCCTTTCCGGCCCCTGGTCTGCCAGCGGGTGCCCCCACCCAACGCCCAGGAGGTCAGCGCAGGGCCCTCAGCTGCTCTGTCCCCCAAGCCCCGCGGTGGCTGGGCACCGACACCCCGCGGGGGCCAGGCCAGGAGAAGGTGCCGGGTGAACAAAGGAGCCGTGGGAGCAAGGGAAGGAGACTTCACAGCCAGGGGCGCCCTCCAGAAGACGGGGCATTTGGGTTGAAAAAGGAAGAGGCCCAGGAGAGCCAGACCATTGCAGTGCTGGAGGACAGCTGAGGCCCAGGAGGTTGAAGTGGGTGAGGTGGGAGGGGGAAGGGCCGGGGAAGGAGAGGCCAGTTGCAGAGGGACCTGACGCCGGTGGGGAGTCACAGATTTGGCCCTGTGGGCGTCAGGGAGCCACAGGAGATACGAAGGAGGCAATGGCACCCTCACAGGCCATTGTGATGTTTCTTGGTGGAACCTGCCAGGCCTCTCCGGGTGGGGAAGGCCACTCGCCTCTCCATTGAAGAGCCCCAAATTGAGCCTGGTCGTCTGCTGCTACCTCCAGGACTGTCGCGTGAGACACAAAGACTGAGCACGGCCAAAGCCGGTTTGGCTCAGTGGATAGAGCGTCAGCCTGCGGACTGAAAGGTCCCGGGTTCGATTCCGATCAAGGGCGTGTACCTTGGTTGCGGGCACATCCCCAGTGGGGGGTGTGCAAGAGGCAGCTGTTCGATGATTCTCTCTCATCGATGTTTCTAACTCTCTATCCCTCTCTTCCTCTCTGTGAAAAATTAATAAAATACAAAAAAAAAAAAAAGAATCAATAATGTTTTTAAAAAAATAAAAATAAAGACACCACATGGCTCTGGCCACCCAGACCATCCTCCACTGCCTTCAGCTGCCTCACCCCGGGGGTCACCTTCTAAAACCTCCTTCCCACTGGGGCAGAGGAGATCACTGCCACCGAGACCGGAAAACCAACTGCGCACAGCGCTCAGGCCCCCGGGGCCGGGGGGCAGGCGAAGCCAGCGGGCAAGCGTCTGACTGGCTCCCCCTTCACCAGAGAGCCACTCCCCACACCCCGTGTGGGTCCCGGCATCAGGCCGGAGCCGGGAGGGGAGCCGCCCTCCGGGGGCTGGAGCTGGGCTTCCCTGGGCCAGCAGCGATGAGACTCTGGGTGCCACACCTTCGGTGAACTGGTCCATGGTGGGGCGGTGCACCAGGCTGCTGAAGGAATCTGTCACCGAGGACTTCTTCCGGTGCCTGAAGGGGAGAAAGGAGCCTCTGTTCCTTCCGGGTCCCTCTGAGCTCCCGCCCCGCCCCTGGGACTCTGCACGTGGAACCCCACCGACTTCTCCAGATCCAGGGCTCTCTCACCCCCCGGCCCCGCCGTCGCCCTTGGTCAGAGCCCCCTCTCCTCCCTCCTCTGCTGCTAGTCATCCTTCCCAGACCAGCTCCGGCACCACCTCCTCCAGGAAGCCCTCCCTCTCCTCCAGCCGGACCCCCAGCAGCCCTCGTGCTCCCCTACATCACACGGAGATGCCCCGGTGTATGCCTGTCTCCCCACCAGGCCATGTGAGCGTCCAACCGGCTGGGGTCTGGTGACGCGCCGGGCGGCCAGCACCCAGCACAGGGCACAGCCCAGGGCAGTGGTCGGCAAACTCCTTAGTCCACTGGCCGAGGGCGAGCAAAATGAGTGACAGTCACCTGGGCACAAACACTCGGGGGCCACTGACTCGTTCATTTAAGCGGTAACATATACTGAACCCCAATTACACACCAGGTCCCGTGACTTGTATTTTCATTCAGTCCCCGTGACAACCCTGTCACCATCGCACCCATTTTATAGATGGGAAAGTCAAGGCCCCAGAGGGCCCAGCCTACGGTCAGAGAGTTACTAATGACAGAGCCAGAATGTGTCTCCCCCTCATCAGGCTGGGAGCCCAGGGAGCGGCTCAGACAACAAGGCTCCGGAGGCAGTGCCGCCAGCCGGCTGTGAGCCGCGGGCACACAGCCTCTTCGCCCAAAGGAGCACTCATGGCGGCATTCCAGGCACCGGGATAGGCCTCATGACCCCTCAGCCCCGTCTGCCCCAGGGCCCGACCTCTGGCACAGCAACTGCGCCTCCTTCATCATGTTGCCAGCGAGCAGGATGTCCTGAGGGTCAAAGGTCATCATGGCCTGCATCTCCAGGATGGTGGCATACGTCAGCGAGTGGTACATGCTCTCCTTGGTTCTGCCGGAGAGAAAAGACGTGAGAGCACCAACTCCTAGACCGTCAGGCCGGCCCCTCCCGTGCTGCCTGGGGCTAAGGGGGGGGGGGGGGGGAGTGTCCCGGGAGGGAAGACCTCGGATCCCAGCAAAGTGGCTGTAAGCGACACTCCAATCCTGAGCCCAGCTTCTCTTCTGTTCTGCGGAGATACAGCAACCGGCTGCTGTGAAGGCTCAAAGCTGGCCTCAGGCCACACTTCCCAGCACTCAGGCAGCACCTGCTTCTACCTTCTGCCTCCCCTCCCCTGGGTGCAGGCAGAGGGTACTCACATCTGGTCCATGGGACCCTTTCTATCCTCAGCCTCACCCCTGGGCTCCCCCAGAGCCGGTTCCAGGGACCTCCTCCTTCTCTTCCTCCTCCTCCTCCTCTCCTCCCCCTCCTCCTCCTCCCCCTCCCCCCCCCCCCCCCTCCCCCTCCTCCTCCCCCTCCCCCTCCCCCTCCCCCTCCCCCTCCTCCTCCTCCTCCCCCTCCCCCTCCCCCTCCCCCTCCTCCTCCTCCTCCTCCTCCCCCTCCTCCTCCTCCTCTTCTTCCTCCCCCTCCTCCTCCTCCTCTTCCCCTCCCCCTCCCCATCCTCCTTCTCCTCCTCCTCCTCTTCCTCCCCCTCCTCCTCCTCCTCCTCTCCTCCCCCTCCTCCTCCTCCTCCTCCTCCTTCTCTCCTCCCCCTCCCCCTCCTCCTCCTCCTCCTCCTCCTCTTCTTCTCCCTCCTCCTCCTCCTCCCCTCCCCCTCCCCCTCTTCCTCTCCTCCCCCTCCTCCTCCTCCTCCTCCCCTCCCCCTCCCCCTCCTCCTCCTCTTCCTCCCCCCCCTCCTCCTCCTCCTCCTCCCCTCCCCCTCCCCCTCCTCCTCCTCCTCCTCTTCCCTCTTCCTCCCCCCCCTCCTCCTCCTCCTCCCCTCCCCCTCCCCCTCCCCCTCCTCCTCCTCCTCCCCCCCCTCCTCTTCCTCCCACCGCCTGCCTCTCCCAGGCACCCTCAGATCACGCTGCTCCCTGGCTGAGCCTCTCTGGTGACACCTCCAGGCTTCCACATCCCAAGAGGCTCCACACAATGCAGGCCCCGCCCACCTCCCCAGCCCCGTGGTCCTGTCACGTCTGCTTCTGCCCTGTGATCTAGTAGCTTTCAAAACTGAACGGCACTGTGCTCTCCTCAAGAAAATCCGACCGTCTCCCTCCTCCCAGGTCTTTGTACACGCTGTTCCCTCCGTTTGAACTATCCTTCCCCTCCCCTCCGGCTCCCTGAGTATCAGGGCCAGTTGGAGTCCCGGGCTCCGTCCTCAGGGAGCCTGTGTCTGTGACTGCGGAGCGGCTCTCAGGAGCTGGAACCCGCAGTCACGGCTCCCTCCCCAGACTGGGGCTCCTGGGGACACAGCTCTGTAGGATGCACCTCTGTCCTCAGCACCAGGGTAGGCAGGCAGGAAGCCTTCCCCCCAGCCTTCGCAATGAAGGGTGTGTTGGGACCGGGGTGCGGGGTGGGGAACATTCAGTCTAACCCATGGAGAGAGAGCAGCAGGCAAGTTGGAAGGAGAACAGCGCCAGTCCCTCTCTGGACTTGGAGAAGTCAGACCGTGTCTGGGCCTTGATTTACGTTCCTGCAAAAATGGGAACAATCCTGCTGGCCGGCCTGAGCTGGTCCTTGTGGGCTGGCCGGGGAGCGCCCTTATGGGGCACACAGTAGGTGTGGCAGCGGTTTCACTCCCTTCCAGGCACCCCCCCCCCCCCCATTCATTACTGAGGCTCCTCCTCCGTGCCAGGCTGTGCTGGGAACTTCAGGGCAGAGAGGTGACTACGGTTTAGAGCACATGCGTCAAACACAAGGCCCGCGGGCCAAATCCGTCCCGCCAGGCCTTGCAATGTGGCCCGCACGGCGCTGTCATCACTGCACTCCGCTGCGTTTCCATCACAATGACAGTTTATGACTGTTCAGTAAACCATTCGGCCCGCGATTTAGGCTGGATTTTAGATTTTGGCCCCTTCTCTGATGGAGTTCGACACCCCTAGTGTAGAGACTAAGCGGTGGAAAAATCACGAGATTGTACCCATCTCCCTGCTATTCTCCTTCTTAAAACACCTGTGTAAGTTAAGCTGCTCTTTTACTTCCGGGTCACCCTCAGGTGAGGGAGGTAAAGGAAGGAAGCCGATGGCCGGCCGGCCGGGAGCTGTCCTCCCCTCCCAGCTCAAACAGTTGCCTGGACTGTTTGATCTGAGGGCAGTGGCTCCTGGGAAGGAGGCCGCGGCCCGCAGTGGGGGCGGAGCGCGGGCCTCTGAGGCCCTCAGACACAGGGTAGAATCTGGCCCTGCCAGTCACCAGCTGTGCGGTCCTGGCCAGTCTCAGGTTCCTCCTCTGTAACATGGATACCACGACCCTTCTCTCCCAGGACCCCGGTGAGCTCCGCCATGTCCTGCCAGGGTCAAGGGTCACTACCCCGGATAAAAGCTGACTCCTTAAAGAGGGGTATCTCTTTTTTTTTTTTTAATGCATTTTATTGATTTTGTACAGAGAGGAAGCGAGAGGGATAGAGAGTTAGAAACATCGACGAGAGAGTCGTCGCTCAGCTGCCTCTTGCACACCCCCTACTGGGGATATGCCCGCAGCCAAGGTACATGCCCCCTGACCGGAATCGAACCCGGGACCCTTCAGTCCCCAAGCCGACGCTCTATCCATTGAGTCAAACCGGTTTCGGCAAGAGGGGTATCTTTTAACACACAGACCTGGGCTTCCCAGACAACCCCCTGCCATCAGGCCTCTTGGACTCCCAAGCCGCTGCCTCTCTCTCCCTCCCTCTCCCCTAACACCACCCCCCTCCCCGGGCCTGAGGCCAGGGACTCAGCCCCACCCGCTGGGCCCCCGTCTGCTGCTGGGCCCAGGCGGAAGCACAGCCCCCTGGGCAGCTGGCAGGCAAAGTAGACTTTCCAGTCTGAGGCCAAGGCCACAGCACCGGCTCCGGGCCCCTCCCAGCCCTCGGCCAGCGGGGAAGCTCCCCACTATGGTGCGGACTGGGGTTTGGGAATCAGAGGAGTGGAAACCGCCCTGCTCCAGGCACGCCACCTTCCTGTTTGCACACACAGTCTATGCCCCGGGAGCAGCGGCCCCTCAGCTCTGAGCGGACGGCCATGGAGCATCACGGCCCTGGGGGCCCACGCCTGGGCTGGGACCGGCTGCCAATGGGGCGGGTGTCGAGACCGGTGTGGCTCAGTGGACAGAGCGTCTGCCTGCGGACTGAAAGGTCCCGGGTTCGATTCCGGACAAGGGCATGTACCTTGGTTGTGGGCACATCCCCAGTGGGGGAGTGTGCGAAAGGCAGCTGATCGATGATTCTCTCTCATCGATGTTTCTAACTCTCTATCTCTGTAAAAAATCAATAAAATAAATAAATAAATAAATAAATCCTAAATTGTTAAAAATAAATAAATACATAAAAAGATGGGATGGCCACCTGGAGTCAGCTAAGCCCTGTGGCCTCCGGCCTGCCCTCCTCTGCCAGTAGCCAAGGCTCTGGGCCCTGTCAGCCAGCCTTGCCCCCACCAAGGGCCTCCTGACTCTGACCCTCCCCTCCCTGACCCTTCCTGGGTCCCAGCCTAAGGCACCCGTCAGGGCCTCTCCGGGCAAGGCTGTTCCAGGCTGGGAGGCAGAGGCGGCCCCTGCTTCCAAGCCTCTCTGTTTCCTTTATTCTCCCTAAAGCCGCCCCACCCCACGGCCTGGTCCGCTCAGACCCCCTCACTGCCCTCCTCTCAGCCCAAGCTCCTTCCAGGACGGCGGCTGCCAACCGGCGGTCCGCAGACCCTGGTGGTCCGAGAGGTCCGAGAGGTTGGCGACCGCTGCTCTCGGGGACTCACGCCCCTCGTCCACCCTCAGTCACCCGGCCCTCTCCCTTCCGGGACCTGCTTCAGCTCCCTCACTCCACCCAGGCCCAGTGGCTCTGCTCCTCCAATGCACGAGCCCCTCCCTCCATCCCTGCCGGGCGTGTGTACAGCCTGTTCCCTCTGCCTGGAAGTGTCCTCTCCCCCGGGCTGCCTCCTCCTCACCCAGCCCGTCTCAGCATGAACGCCACTTCCGCCAGGAGGCCCTCCGGGGCTGGCTTCGTGGTGTGTGGTCTGTGAGTTACACTGGGCCTCCTGCCCAAAAGGGCCCCGTGCTTGGTTTTATATTCCGTTAGTGCTGTCTTGAAATCCTTAATCATTTTTTTTTAATTTTTATTTCTTGATTGATTAAGGTATCACATATGGTCCTCATGCCCCCAATCATTTTTGAACAAAGGACCCCATATTTTCATCTTGCAATGAGCCCCAGAAATTATGTGGCCAGTAATTTCCTGACCAGCCCCTCTCCACGTGAGCTGGGGTCCAGGTATAAATCCTGGCAGCCCTTATTGCTTGTTTCGCTGAGAACAGACCAAGCCTTGCTCAGTGTTGCAGCCCCAGAACCCAGCACACGGCTGGGCACCTGGGTGAGCTCACGAAATTTTGCCGAATGAACCAGTACCCGGTGCCCAATCTCCCCACCCCCTGGGTCACCCCCTGACCTCCTCATCATCCCACAGAATGGCTCTGCCTCTGGAGTCTTAAGTGTGTTCAGTGGTTAGAGCATCAGCCGGCACACCAAAGGGTCGAAGGTTCGATTCCCGGTCAAGGGCACATACCTCCCTCCATCTATCTCTCTTTCCCTCCCTTTCACTCTTTCTAAATTAAATTAAATAAAATAAATTTTAAAAAATCAATGAACCCTAACCGGTTTGGCTCAGTGGATAGAGCGTCGGCCTGCAGACTGAAGGGTCCCAGGTTCAAATCCGGTCAAGGGCATGTACCTTGGTTGCGGGCACATGCCCAATGGGGGGTTGCAGGAGGCAGCTGATCAATGTTTCTCTCTCATCTATGTTTCTAACTCTCTCTCCCTCTCCCTTCTTCTCTGTAAAAAAATCAATAAAATATATTTTTAAAAGTAAAATAAAATACATCAATGAAAAATATATCCTCAGGTGAGGATTTTTTTTTTAAATAATTAAAAAAAAAAAGGAATTTCTGGAGGAGCATGCTCTGATAAATGAGGAAGGAGATAAGAGAGAAAAAGCTGGGATGGAGCAAAGACAAAAGCAGCAGAGAGAGGTGCAGGAGACAGACCGCTGGGAGGTGGCCAGAGACCTGTCTGCCCTCCAGGGGACAGGTTTCCAGGAAAAGGAAAAACTGAGTGCTCACCTGCTATGTTTGACCATTTAGGGGAAAACTCATAATAGCATGATCTGACTGAGCGGTTATAAGGCATTCAGGAAATATGTATAGCAAGTTAGGAGACAATGATTCATTCTAGAAAGGAAATGTAGTCTTAACTACACAGCTATAATAATGTAAACATGTATTATTGATCTCGCCAAACGCTGATAGAATGGTAAGAGGCAGGTGAGGGAAGGGAGATGGGGCAGAGGTATAAGACAGCTAACTTCTGCCCTGGCCAGGAAGCTCGGTTGGTGAGAGTGTTGTCCCAATACACCAAGGTTGCAGGTTCGATTCCCCAGTCAGGGCACATACAAAAATCAACCACGGATGCATAAATAAGTGGAACAATCAATCAATGTTTTTTTTTCCTCTTTCTCTCTCTCCTTCCCAATGTCTTTCTGAAATCAATAAAGCATTTTTTAAAAATGAAAGCTAACTTATTTTTACCAATAGATGATTTTTAAAAAGTAAAAAGTAACAAAAGAGTGAATTTTATGGTACCTGAATTTTATCTCAGTTTCAGTTTTTGAAAAACTGCAAAAAATTTTAAAACAGCAGTATAAGCATATTATTTAGAAATAAGGCAGTATGCTAAAACAGGTTTGGCTCAGTGGATAGAGCATCGGCCTGTGGACTAAAAGGTCCCGGGTTCGATTCCGGTAAAGGACATGTACCTTGGTTGCGGGCGCATCCCCAGTAGGGGGTGTACAGGAGGCAGCTGATTGATGTTTCTCTCTCATCGATCTTTCTAACTTTCTATCCCTCTCTCTTCCTCTCTGTAAAAAATCAATAAAATATATTTTTTTAAAAGAAAGAAATAAGGCAGTAAATGCTAGAAGAATTAATGACTAACCATCATTATTACCTTACAAGGCTTAAGTGAAGGCAACACAAGTCTTGAGCGCTTTAGAGAAAAATGGCAAGGGGCCGTGTTCGCCGACCGCAGAGAAACCCCCAGTGGACTCAGTGGGAACAGGACGTCAGAGGAGAGGCCGAAGGGACGGAAGGGGAAGGAAGTCACGGTGACCTCGGGAGGCCTGGCTGCTCCTGGCTGTGGAGAGGGGAGCCTGAGCCATGTTTATGGGACTCTCGGGGGTCAGGGTGACCCAGGTGGAAGGCGTTCAGCTCCACGGGGATCCCCTCACAGCAGAACTCAGGTCCTCCGTGATACAGCCACCCCATCCCTGCCCCCTCCGCGGGCTCGCACAGCGCCTGTGCACGCCCCCGCTGCCCGGCGGAGGCCTCACCTGGGCCTGAGGTAGCTGAGTGCTTCTGAGAACTGGTTGGTGAGGAAGAGGTCCAGGGCGGTCATGCACTGGTCCAGGGCCTCATGGAGGCTGTTCACGGGCGTCCTGAGGAGAGAGGCACAGGTGTGAGGCGGGACCGTCAGCCCCGGGCCCGGCTGGGACAGAGCCTCCCGGGGACCCCTGACTCCCTGGAGGGCCTCCAGGCTGCCCGCTGGGACACAGGGCAATCTGGACCCGCCTCTGAGTGTTCCTACAGTGGGAGGAGGGCAGACTGGGGTGACCCCCGAGAATGGGGCGAGGTTTGGGGGAGCGAGGACAGGGGAGCAAGGGAAGCTCCGAAATAAACGTATCTCACCTCTCACGAGGGTAAAGAGAATCTTTGTGGCCCTTCTGACCCATTGGGCTTTTCTGCTCCCCCCTCTGGGGGGCACAGCCCTCCCACCAAACCCCACGGCCGTCCTTTTCTCCCTCCTGCTCAGGCCCTCCCCTGCCCCCAGGCCTGCACTCTAGAACCCAGGGGCCCTGTCACAATGGGCTCCAGAGGCATCTCAACACATTCTAGCCCTTACCCTTCTCTATCTTACCATTGTCTGACATATATATTTTTTTTTTAATTGATTTTTTACAGAGAGCGGGATAGAGAGTTAGAATCATCAATCAGCTGCCTCCTGCACACCCCCCACTGGGGATGTGCCCGCAACCAAGGTACATGCCCTTGACTGGAATCGAACCCGGGACCTTTCAGTCCACAGACTGACACTCTACCACTGAGCCAAACCGGTTTCGGCTAGAATTGAACTCTTGTTTGTTCTCCTGAATCTGTTCTCTCCCAGTCTTTAATGACATCCCTTTTCCAAGCTCCTGAAGCCAGAAATCTGAGAGTCATCCTTCACAGAGCCCTCTCCCAGGCCTCTATCACCTCCTCCATCCCGAAGCCCTATCGCCTGTCCCTTCCGAACCTCTCTTAGCCCATCTTTCCATGCCCAGTGTCCTCAGTGCAGGCCAACCGCCATCTTCGCCCAGGTCTGACGGGAGACTTCCGCCCCTCCTGTCCCTTCTCTCTCTGTGTTAGACCATTTTATTCTGTATTTCATGTCTCATAATTCTACCTCTTGGACTCTCTTCGTCAGAGTCTGAGTAATTTCTTCAGCTCTTCCCTTTCACGAGTTCTCTTTATTTGTGTCCAATCTGCTGCCCATCCTGTCCACTGGGTTTTTCATTGCAGTGGCTATACTTTTCATCTCCAGAAATTCCACTTTGTTCTTTCTCAAATCTGCTTGGCCATCTTGGGCAGTATTTTCTTCCCTGCTTTATTGTTTCACCTTTGATTTCTTTACACATTTTAAACACAATTATTTATATTCTGTGTGTCAGTTCTGGTATCTTAGACTCCCAGAGAAACGATTTCTTGCTTCTGGTGCCTATCGCTCACAGTGGCCTGTCTGCCTGCGTGTTCTGTATTTTTACCACGAGCTCCTGTTTGATGAGGTCATTTGGGAGGAGGACATGCTCCTCCAGGGAGGATTTTCACTCATTTCACCAGGTTCCCCGGGACACTACCTCCCTGTGACCGCTGATTGCGCATTTTCAGGACCACATTTCAAACCCAAAATGTGTGAGAGGGCAGCATGTATAACTCTCCAGGGAACCTCTTTGTCCCCATCAGAGCTGCTGTCGCCCTGTGCGGAGGTGGATGCTTTTCCTGTTTGCCGAGGCCACCCTTTGGAGATCCCGGATTGGTGTGGAGGGCGGGAGGGGCTCGCTGTGGGTGGGCAGGCCCAGGGTCTTCTTCCCCATCCCATGAGTGGCCATGAAAACTCAAAGATCTGGGTTTCTGGAATCTGTAAATACCCCCAGGTTGCTGTGGCTTCATCTCATTGACCAGCCTGATTGGAGCTCCCTCCTTATTGTTGGCTCAGAGGATTCCTGTTACTTCTGTAGAAGCCCAGGAATGCATTTTAAAGGATGTTTGTTTAACCAATCCAGCCTCTCGGTGGATTTGTTTAAGGAAGAATGTTGGAAGTGTTATTCCCTCTGATCCGTCCCTCCCATAACAGCCGAGACCTGAACTCCTTCCCTGCCTCCTCATTACTCTGAGGACCAAGACCCAGTTCCTTTCTGCGGCCACCACGGCCCCACGCGAAGCAGCCGCTGTCCCTCTCGCTGTGAGGCAGGGCCGGGTCTCCTTCTGCCCAGGGCCCAGCGTGGTGTTCGGCCCACCCATCTCAGCTGGATGACTCAACGGGGAGCAGGGAGCACTTGGGCCCCAGTGTTTACCTGGCATTCTCTCCTGAGCCCTCGCTGAGCCGTGTGAAGCGAGGTTATCAACCCCACCGCAGGGGAGGAGACGGGAGCACGGAGAAGAGGTGGCTTGGCCAAGGTCACGTGCCCAAACATGGGTTCTAACCCGAGATTCTGCGTGAGCCAGTGCCCACCAGCTCAGCCCAGGGAGTCGTCTGTTGTCCTGGCTTATGTGCTTCTCTGCTCAACTCCAGAGCCACGCCTGCCTCCCACTTCTGTGCAACGCCCCCTACCACCAGCTCCACCCCGCTACAGGGAACAACCTGGACAGAAAGAGGCACAGACAGATGGGCGGACAGCACAGAGGCACATATTCCCAGCACCTCTTCTACTGAACTGTACGAGTTGGGTCTGAGCTGACCTCTCTGGGCTGGAAGCTCTTTGGGGAGGGCCTGGGACTGATGTCCTCCCCCCTCCTCCCCCCCAAATACCACTAATCTCTGGCTCTGCACCAGGCTGGGGGACACAGAGCAGGCCCAGGAACTCATGGTCTAGGCAGTGTTTCCCAAAGTGTGGTACGCGTACCCCCAGGGGTACAGGAAGAGTTTGGTGGGGGTACGCGTTGCACCGGAGTTTGGTGGGGATATGCACTGCACCCTGCTTAGCTGCGCCTAATTCTACGTTCTCATGAGTACGAGGGGTACTCAGCGTTACGAAAATTATAGAAGGGGTACACATATGTCAAAAGTCTGGGAAACACTGGTCTAGAGGAAGGACAGTTGCAGGCAGAGGCAGTGACAGCAGAGCCCTCCTGGGAATCAATCGCTGGGCTGGAGAGGCCCAGAAGGGGGGGGGGGGGGGGGGGTGAGACTTTCAAGGAAGCTTTTCTGGAAAAGCTGGCACTGAATTGAGGACAAGATGAAGAAAAAAAAAGTCCAAGAAAGAGACAGAGTGTGAGCCAAGGGCTGGAGGCATACCAGCGTGAGGAGGAGGCCTGAGCTGTAGGGCAGGGCAGGAAAACAGGCCCCTGGACTGCCTGCTAGGTGGGGAGCTTGGGGGAGCGGGGGGAGCAGCTGGCTGGCTGGGAGCGCAGGAAGGCCAGGGACAGCTGGCCCCATTGATTCAATAACAGCACTAACAACCACCCACCACTACCGCGAAAATATCACTAAGTTACCCAAACTGATGACTAATGACTTCACTCCGTCCTCCCACCAGCCCCAAGAGGAAGGTGTTCTTATCTCCATTGGAGAGATACGGACGTGAAGACAGGAGCCTGCCCTGCTCCTCTCAGGAGCCTGGAAGTCAGAAATGCTTCCTGCAAAAGCAACCTCGCTCGCGGGGCTGACTGGGGTCCCCCCTTGTCCGCAGGCTTTCCCCGCGTCTCCAAGGGCTTTCTGCGGAGGCCACCTCGCTGGGCCCATATAGTCCTGAGCTCCCCAGTGGTGCCCGTGCCCTCTCTGTGTGCCCTGGGGAAACAGGACTGGAGGGGGACTAAGCTGAGGGAGCAGGAAGCAGGGCTGGTGACCAATGGCAGGAGCCTGGTGCAGTGGGGGAGGGGCTTAAGGCCCAGGTAAGAAGAGGGCTGGAGGCTGAGGGGGGCATCAGACAGCTTGGAGCTCTCTCTCTCTCTCTCTCTTTCTCTCTCTCTCCCCCTCTCACCTCGCTGCTTTAATCTGCCTGAAACTGCTACCTTTAGCGCCTGGTAGGCAGGGCGAGGAGGAGCTGGGGGACCCTCAGTCCCAGCTCGGGACAGGAACCCCCTGCCCTGGGGTGAGGTGGGGGTGGGAAAGTGGAGGCAGGCCAAGGACGTCACTCAGGGAGCAGATGAGTCAGAGCTGGCTTTTTACTTCCTGCTTCCCCATCCAGGGGGAGCGCTGACTCAGAGGGTAAGGCAGTGGGTCTGTGGGGACCTAGCACTTGTAAAGAGATCTTTCGAAACTGCAAACATGGTTGTGACTCTGCTTCCAAAGACTCCCCTGTAGCCCTGCATAAAGCAGACATCATGGGTCACGGAGTGAGGTGGCGTGGCCTAGGGCAGCGTGGCATCCGAGAGGTTTGAAGGCAGACAGCCCTGGACGGCAGCTGCGGCTCAGCAATGCCTTGTTGGAGGGACCTGGCAGGTGCTTTATAACAGTGTTTCCCAAACTTCTCTCAAGATGAGCATCCCCTGGTGGAGTTGTTAAAATACGGATTCCTGAATCCCAACTAAGAAGTGCTAAACTAGAATTTGGGGGAACATATAGGTAAAATTGTTTACTTAACTAGTGCTCTAAGCTTTTTTTTTTTTTTTTTAATATATTTTATTGATTTTATACAGAGAGGAAGGGAGAGAGATAGAGAGTCAGAAACATTGATGAGAGAGAGTCATCGATCAGCTGCCTCCTGCACACCCCCTACTGGGGATACGCCCGCAACCAAGGTACATGCCCTTGACCGGAATCGAACCTGGGACCCTTCAGTCCCCAAGCCGACGCTCTATCCATTGAGCCAAACCGGTCCCCCTAAGCATTTTTTTTTAAGGGATCACCGGAGACAGGGAAGGAATTTTACCTATCTGTTCCCAAAAATTCTAGTTTAGCACTTCTTGGTTGGGATTCAGGAATCTGTAGTTTAACAACTCCACCAGGGGATGCGCATCATGAGAGAAGTTTGGGAAACACTGTTCTAAAATACAAGCCTGCTTCCCCACCCATCAGAGGGGAGGCGGGAACACGAGACAATGTGAAGCACAATAAGAAGTTCTCAGAATAAGTTAGTGACTGGCATTTCCCCCCAGCCCCCCCAAATTACATATTTCCATCATTTCTTTTACTGACTAGCTCCACTTTCATAAGGAAACTACTAGTAAGTCTTTAAAAGAT